GTTGAGTATGGTATTTATTTCACTCCCGTTAGTTAATTTTCAAAGGTACAGAAATACACTCGCTAAAGCTCGCGCTTTTGTAACTTTTGAAAATTAACTAACGAGAGTGAAATAAATACCATATTCAACAACAACTCGTTGTGTAACCTCTATTTAACCCATTTTCTTAACAATAAAAAGAGTTCGTCACATCCTTTCTTATTTACATAGTCAGGTGTTATTCAATACTAGTGCCGCGGTCATGATCACTTAAAGTTATGCCAATATTTACCACGGTAGAACATATACATTGTAACATGTGGGATAAAGAGTAAGGTGTAGAAGACCTACTAAGACCGAATCTAGCAGGTTCAGATAAAGCACTGATAAAACTACAAGTTAAACATATCTGACAAAGTATGTCTTAGTGAAATACCTAGCATGTCTACATCCATGTTGATAAGCAGAAATACTTAAGATTATCAGATTTCCCACTTAAATATATCTATTGCATTCACTGTTACATAATACATATTCATCATGGTAGGTAGTTCAATTTCAATAATTAATTGCCTACTCTATCCCGATAAAAGTTTAAGATGATTTATAATATCCTGTTTACCTCTGTTTATGTCAGTGTAGACACCGTTCGTTCTGGCTGGACACGACAGTGTGTAGAGAGAACAGTAATAGTTTACATTTGATTCACATGAGTTAAAGGAAGGGATTTTACTACACAGTGGGAGCAACTGTTTCACCATGAACTATAATAAAAAGAACTCAGAGTGACTTTAAGTCTACTGGTTTCTATGTATGTTTTATTTTACTTTCCCTAGTTCTGGAATAAGTTGCGTCTTGTAATATTCTGATGTCTCTAGGTTTTCAGTGACATTTGATGTCTGAAGGCTTCGACCATATTAATACCATTTTGGTGATTGAAATAGAAAATGTATGATTAAGGAACACTCAATATTAAGATTATCGTTGAAGATTCCTTTTTAATATTATGGTCTTTAGTCCTGTTCGTGAAATCTGCAGAGATAAATATTGAGCTTTCCATAATCTTATATTTTAGTGACTCACAAATATGAGTGAATCGACGGTATTCACTTCAGTGTTGTGAGTGTCGGGAATAATGTTTATGATATTGAATAAATTGGTTATGAACAAACGATACCATATGCTTAAAAACTTATTTAAACGAGCATAACTCTTCTAACAATGTACTTTTAAAAAAAAAATACGGTTGGGAGATTCTGGTGACGTTGTGTAACATTTTTTTCTGATGCATTTCTTGTGGATGAAGCACTAAAGAATTTAAGTCGATCTAGTCAAGTATTGAGATCTGCATTATTATATAAGTCAACGATATAAACTTGTACTTAATTTTTTCTCTTGAACTACTCATTCATGACGAACTAGATATCATGTGATGACATAAACATATATCATCATCGTAGGTTAGAACTTTTACCGAGCGTTGACCAAAACCCTTAAAATATTTACCCTACACATCAGAACAAGTCCGAATCATTAACTGATTCTTAGATCCTTGCAATTCTTTTCAAATCCTTGTGAATTTGATCAATGTCGATCAATTTCCGAATATTATGTACATAATTATTGAAATAAAGCAACAGTAAGTTACTCTGTATTAACCATGTGTTTCTCGTTTATTTAGTATTACCCGTATATTTTGTATATGGGTAAGTAGTTGATGTGTTACTGGTGTGTATATGGGTAAGTAGTTGATGTGTTACTGGTGTGTATCTTGTATTGTTTTTGTAATAGTTGTGTACACACTATATTATGTGTTTTCCTACATTACATTTCGCATATTATATCCGTGTATAATTTGTACATTACATGATAAGACTTGTGTATTATTTATTTGTGTTTAGTTGTGAATTACTCTTAGTAACTAAGATATAACTTGCATATTACCTTGTATACTTGGTCAAACGTCCTTAATATACGTAGATATGTTTTCCTATTGATCCAACTGTAATGGAGCATCACTCCTTCTTATGAGTTGTGAACCCATGTCATTGATAACGGATAATCTTTCTGAATATAAAACTTACAGGTATCCGGATTAAACCGGAACAATGACTTTGGTTTCTGTTTCTTTTGAGGTGTTAAACTGACACAGGCTCACCTCCAACACACCTGTATAACGATGTTGTCAAAACCTGATTACAGTTTTACTCTCAAGTTTCAAGTTTTTTATTTCCGAATGCAAATCAGCATATAGGTTAATTGATACATAGAATACAAAACATATTTCAAATTTTCAAGATGGCGGAGGACAATTCCATATAAGCAATTATCACATAAAAAGAATACATAATTTAGCAATATTACTGCATGAGGGTTTTTCTTTTGGCGGTAGCATATTTTAAATATAGACCCAATCTACGTAATGTTTTAATACTTTTACATGACAATAATTCAATTAATTTATACACACTGGGGCATCGGAAGTAATATTGCTTAATGTATGTGTTTCTCAATACAGAGTAAGCAGGACAAATAAGAATAAAATGTATCTCATCTTCTAAATCATTTTTGTCACAGGCAAAACATAATCTTTGACCTCTCGGAACCCCATTATAACGTCCAGATTCGATATTAAGGGAATGCGCCTGCATGCGATATTGACTCAACATTTTTTTGGTATTAAATGTTAAAGGCTTTACTAAATAGAATTGCATATTAAAAGTATCGACAAGATGTCTATATAAATAACATTTAGAAGATGTTTCAAACGCACCACGTAATTCCTGAATAAATACGTCATGCAGACGTTGGGTATACATTTCCACAAATTGTTTTTCATTTGGAACATATTGAACATCCCAAATATGATTAAAACCCATTCTATATAAATCATTTTTAACATGATAAACCCAGTTAAGTTTACAATTCGGCTTTTTGACATTAAGCTCAAGTAGTGCATCATAGCATGCTTTTAGTACACAGTTATTTGTATTCAAAATATTTAACCAGTATTTAATTATAGCTACTTTGCGCTTTATATGTAAGGAATAACTTCCTGTCTCAAAGTAAACCATAGAACTATTGACGGTTTTCTTAACGTTTAATAAATCTTTAAGAAAGAGAAGATGGACTTTTTCGATTTGCGGCGATAAACAATTACCCCATACCTCACATCCATAGTTCAGTATGCATGTCACATATGTATCAAACAAAGATAATTTAGTTTCAGTATTAAGGATAAAATCTTTCATTCTTCTTTTTAAAAGATAAAAAGCATTCCTGCCTTGAGATGCCAACGTGTTTTGTGCTACGGTGAATCTTCCATTATAATAAAAAACTAATCCTAGATAACAAAATTTGTCCACTATCTCAATTGACTTGCCATTAAACGTCCAGTTTTCAGTAGGTAAGATTCTTTTACTTTTTCTAAAAATTACAATTTTAGTTTTATCATAATTAACAGTTAAATTCCATTTATCAGTGTAACATTGCAGACAATCTAGCATGTGCTGAAGATTGTTAACATCTTCCGAAAACAAAACTGTGTCATCGGCATACATTAACATAAACAGATTAATCAATTGTAGTTCATAACCTTGACAATTGGAATTTAAAAACTCACTCTCCATATCATTAACGAATAATGAAAAAAGCATGGGCGATAACGATTCCCCTTGTAATAAACCGACATGTAAATCGAACATAGTAGACAATTTACCATTTAAATTTATGCAAGAACGAACATTATCATAAATAGATCTAATTACATTTAGCAGTCTGCCACTAACACCACTTTTCCAAAGTTTATACCAAAGTTTATCATGTGTTACACTATCAAAAGCTTTGCTGTAATCTACAAATACGCAATACAGCCTTTTGTTTTGTTCTAATGTATTTATTATTAAACTATGTAATGTAAAAATAGCATCCCTGGTACCAAACCCAGGTTTAAAACCAAATTGGACATCGGTAACAATATCCTCTCTTGTACTCCATTTTAATAATCTTTTATTTAACAAGGAAGTAAATAACTTAGCTAGATGACTAATTAATGTTATTCCCCTGTAATTATTCACATTGTTTTTATCCCCCTTTTTATGAAGAGGTATAATAACACCCTGCGCCCAGGACTCTGGAAAATATCCTACATGTAACATAGAATTAAATAACCTGATCAAAACAGGGGAAAAAATATCTCTATATTCAATTATGTATTCGTTAAGTAACATATCAGTACCAGCCGACTTGTCACGAGACAAACCCCTAATTACATCTGTTAATTCCTCAATGCTAAAATCCACATCTAACTCTGGATAAACACAATCAGTATTTCTATCAATCAAACTATGACCTCGACTTTCGACGATAGGTACATCAGCGAGACCTTTGAAGTATTGAAAAAAATCAGTTAACGATAAATTACCCGTATCACAGGCCTTCCGCTTAGAAAAATTACGGTAAAATTCTTTAGGATTATTCCTCTTTAACAGATCCAGCATGTTCCCTTCCATTCTCAAATAGGCTCGCTTCAACTTCCTCTCACATACTACTCTAAAGGTGATAAATAGGTATACGTTGATTAAAAGTAATACTTCATCTCCGGTTAGGTATTAAAGTATTAACAATATATATATACATACGGATTTCTCTATAAAAAATGTCTGTGCATGCAGTATATAAGCATTTCCAAATGTTTATGTTATTATTTTAGCAGATATTTTAAATAGTATATACTAAAACTCGTTTTGATTTCTTCATTAACGTACTCCATATTTCAAGTTGTAGTAGAAATGTAAATGCAAATGCAACTAAAGTTTCAATAAAAATCAATACAATGTAGACCTACGTTTTATGTGTACGCTGTACTGTATACACCGAGGTCCCTCTCTTATCTGTGGTGACGAACTAAGTGGCGGTTTGTGTAAAAATGTTTAAAATGTAAAAAAAAAAAAAAATTAGTCCGGTGACGAACTGTTATGTTTTGTCTGTATGTCAGTAAATAGCCGGTGACAAACTAGACTGAAGGGCAGTAGGATCTAGATAACACCGACTTAGTGTGAGGTTATTGCTGCTCCCTATGCGCGTGTTTTACTGGGTGCGGAATGATATTGCACTTTCTGAAAAAGTATATAAAGAGAGGCAGAAGGATGTTATACAGATTAGTTTGAGAGCCGGAGCGGTAAACAGTATTTAAAAATCACAACATGAGTAAATGCAAGATCTGGACCTTAAAGGCTGGCTTTCAGGGCCAAGCCAAACGATCGGATTTTCAACTGGTGGAAGGAGACCTGCCTACTCACCTTAACGACGGAGGTAAGATTCGTGTTAACCTGATGTATTTATATCTGTAAATATGGATAAATTGCAGATGGCAGTAAGATTAGTGAGTTCACAGTCACATAAGCCCCATCTACGTAGTCATATGGTTCCCGGTAAACCAGAATTTCCCCCATTTGCTTAACGACATGTTATTCCCCACATAATGAAGTTTATAATCGACTGTGTCCAAAACGGCCTTAATAGCGCGTTAAAACAGTGAGAGAGAGTAATGTAGCAGGCAATGAAATATCAGTTTATCTCGGACCATGTTATTTTTACTTCTTCAACCAAACGGAACTAGTGATTGTTTATTCACTATTCTCAACTTTCTGCTATTCAAATGTTCATCACGTCCCGTGCCTTGTAGCTTTCTCATGTGCGCTCAGTTCTTGCTGGTACTACTGTCTCTACTAATCCGTTTGCACAGAGAAAGATTAAGTACATGGCTTAATTTCAGTGAGAGAGAGAGAGAGAGAGAGAGAGAGAGAACATAAAGTGCTGTGTCTGTTTGGCTATTAGGATATTTTCTAGATAGGACAATTCTTTAAGTGGAATGAAATCATTTAATTCGCGGTAGAGTTTACTTATCTGATAAAAAAAAGTGATGCGTATCTTTGATATGATGTCCACATTGACAGTGCTGAAAATCTTTTGAATTAGCATGAAGTAAGTGATTGTTTAGTGTACTAGAGTTATTTCTCAATCTGGTGTGTAAAATATTACTTTTTTCGACCACCAATAAGATAATATATAGGGACTTGTAACGTATTTAGCCTGCGAAGAGTATCTTCGCAAACATTTTGTATGAAACGCTGTGTCTTATATATTAAGTCTAACTGGTTCCCGAGTCGGATCGTGGAGGGGAAAAAATACAAATTTGTTAATTGAAGTCGTGAATTAGGTAAACAGTAATTTTTAGCAATACGGAGGTTATAGTGTGTGTTTTCTGAAGCTGTAGGGGGAAGTAAAGAGGTCAGATAGTTAGTTATAAGATTCTTATGGATTTTGTAAAACAGTTGTTATTTCCGCCGAGTTCTACGTTGAGATAAAGTTTCTAGACCAGTTTCAAAATACAACGATTCTCTACTTGAGTAAGAATGTAATCCGGTGATAGTCCGTACAGCCTCAAGCTGAAAGACAAATTAATGTGTCGCGCAAAAAAAGTTTGTTTTTGTTATATATAAGAATATTTCAAAGGTGAGGATGAAGTTACAACAAAAGAGGTATTGAAGGATAGGATTAGGGACACCAATGTATAATTTTTGAAATGTGTATTCAAAGGGTTTACTTAAATCGCGTTAGTGATTTTCCTAAGCGTGTCGGCGTAAGTAATATACTTAATCTATATACACATAGCTTTCTGCTTTTTTAAAGTTCAATCACATCCCGTGCTGCGTTTGCCTTTCTCCTGTGTCCTTCTGTAAATTCCTGCCTTACGTACTTAACGACTAAATAATGGAAAACCGGACACGCGCTCTTTATTATATGGTAAAGGTTATGATATGAATAGTTTAGATTGGTGTCAAGATTTGCATCTCCAAAGAGAAGATGTTCCACAGTGATTTCATTATACCAGTCGAGGGATTGAAGCATTATAATACGGGATTGATCATTTTTTTTACAGTTTAGTAAGAAATGGGAAGAGTCTTCTAAGTCATATCCTCAGTCGCAGGTAGAGTCGTCTCGAAGATGAGCTTTATAAAGGTCGTAATTTAATATACTATATCGGTAGAAGTGTTACCTTTTAAAAGCATGCGCATTGGTTTCCAGTATACATTGGGAGTAGCTGAGCTATCATTGATGAGTCCATCTACGTTCGTGTAATGGTATTATTTACTTTGCTTCGTGCACGTTTTAATTTAGCTTCAGACAATGGGGTTTTAACTCTGATGAAATGTTTCCTTGACCGATTTCTAGGTTTAATTCTTTTCATTTATCTCCGTTCATCCATAGCTTGTCGTTCATAATTACATATACATTTTTTTTAGGAATATGTTTCTCTAAAATAGAAATTCGTTTGTCAACGAACAATTTACATTTCTCGCTTACATTATCTGCATAAGAAAACAAATCTATCCAATTAACCTGTCCTATCTCTGTTTTAAGGTTTAAAATATCTACTCTGTTGTATAACCATATTTTCCTCCTAAAAATGGGTTTTGGTAGACAGGTTGACAATGACACAATAATAACTCTGTGGTCACTTATAGCTTCTAAAACTGGTACAACAATGGATGATTCGGAGATTATAGTGTCACTGGTGTAAAATGGGTCGATCTAGTTGGACTGGTTACCAGTTTGAATGTGGCTATAATTTTTATAAAATCGTTGAACAGGAAAATAACACTACCTATTGTTTATTCAACAGAATTGGTATGCGAGGCGCTATACCTGTCAGTGGACCCGTATATGAGGTAAGATGACGAATGCACGACGCGGAACGTTGTAATCATCGCATCCATATGCAATGATCTAGTATCTTTACCTATACATACTGTGTAACATGAAATATTTGTGGATACTTTCCTTCGCGGTCTGAAGCTATCGTAGATACCCCATATACAAACACTGTAGTAAAGTATATGATGAGTAAAGAGGTCGTTGTGTTTATTTTCGCGGTTCCATAGCAGCCATGAACCCCAAACATGTGTGTACGATCATTTATATTGATGTCAAATTTTCTTCACCGGGTCCCGTTAGGTAGAATCATAATGTACAGCGAGTACTATTTGAAGTTTTAAGGGTTGAGATTAACTCTCAGTTAAAATGTCACCCGATGTCAATGATGCTTGCTTCATACTATTATATACTGTTTTTAGGGATGGCATTTCAAATATATCATCGTTGGGGTGACTTATTTTACCGAGTGTTGATTTAAACCCATTACCCACTAATAATGCTCTGTACATATTAAGATGGACCCAAACATACATACATTGTAATTACTGTACCGTAATTGTGGCGACTTTTTATACCGAGTCTTGAAACTAAACCACTACAACATCTAACGATACCCTCTGCAGAGCAGGTCCATATACACATATTGTTACTATTCCTTAGGCCGTTGTGGTTATTTAAGCATTTTTGATAAATATTCTTTATTTATGCATGCACATCGCTGTCCAATTGTTTTAGCATATAAGTTAAATAATTAATAATAAAAAATGATTTGTAAGATTCTGTAAAATGTATAATTTCCATTATTTACAAATCATCGTACGAAAAATAAGACCCAAACATCAAACAAATTGCAATAGATTTTCTTCTTCTCTGCTATAATAGAAACAAAGCTTTACCAAATGTGTTTGGGGGGAATAAAAGGCGTTAATCATTCATGTTTCTTTGATTTTAGATTATTTTCGGATTGGTCAAAAGTTGGCGAGCCTATCGTCGGGGAGCAAGTGGCGAGGTGAGGCAATTACGCTGCTCACGTTTACATCAATGAAAATGCATCATAAACATTTTACATCAATGATAATAAATTATAAAACATTTTACATCAATGCTATGTTACAAAATAAGAAACGATATGTATTACAATGTTATAAAATTGTACCTGTTATGCTGTCAAATGCGCAGACATTGCTATTTATGGGTTCTGAGCAAAGCCGTACACGCAATGTAACTGACGACTTATTCCCATCTAATTACACAAGCAAGGCGTTTATTTTCACCAGCGTTCGATTGAGTATGTTTATTTTCATACTATTGAAAGTTAAGGAATGAAGAATATCTGACATTCAACAAGAAAGTATTATTAGCCCTGGCTTACTTTCTTAAATCGATATGCGCGTGCTTTCGCTATTTCCTAGTTAAATAAAAAATCATTACAAACGTGAAACGTAGTCACTGAAACAGTTGTAATAGAAAAAAAGTTATTGAACTGCATGATGCATGCTGTTGACATTCATAGGATATGAAAATACCACTGTTGGATTTCAAGGAAACTAAGAAAAAAAGTGCTTACCTGAGATGTGTCGGTTGTCTGTTTCCAGGGTGACGGCCAGTAAGAACGCCAAGTATCCAGTCGGTACCACCATCCGTCTGTCGTCAGGCTGGAGATCGCATACCCATGTCAGAGATGTGTCCACGATTGACGTTATGCCCGAACTGGGTGATCTCCCCTTGTCATTGACACTAGGGGTAATGGGAATGCCTGGGTAAGAAGTTTTCCATCCATTTTACTTTGTTCCAAATTAATGTATTCCCGATTCATTCCAATAAAACAGCTTCACTAGGTCTAATGTATAAATTTCTAGCAACATTTTAAAGTATATATTGAAGATTAATGTTAATATACCAATTACAGATTACTGCATTTGATCGCAGTGTCTGCCTTTATTGCAATCCTGAACATCAAATGAATTTTCATAATAAAACACATGTTATACAGGATGACGGCGTATTTTACTTTGGTTGACGTGCTGAAATTAAGAAAAGGAGAGACCCTCCTCGTAAGCGGTGCGGCAGGTGCGGTAGGGAGTCTCGCCGGACAGATCGGGAAAATAATAGTACGTTTGCTAGGCTTGTGGTACTGAAAGTTACACTAATAAAGCATGTTAGGCTTGTGGTACTGAAAGTTACCCTAATAAAGCATGCTAGGCTTGTGGTACTGAAAGTTACACTAATAAAGCATGCTAGGCTTGTGGTAGCGAAAATTACACGCGACAGCTTGCTAGCCTTGTGGTAGTGAAAATTACAGGAGGTAGCTTACTAGGCTTGTGGTAATGAGAATTAAACGAGACAGCTTGCTAGCCTTGTGGTAGTGAAAATTACACGAGACAGCTTGCTATGCTAATTGGAAATGCTATTCGATAGTGCAGCTAGGGAAAGCTATGTGATATATGTGAAGTATGAGAGCGTTATGAGACGGGGGTGGGGGGGTTGTCATTTCGTTTTATGCCATTAATATCTTGTAAATAAAATTAAGCCGTGTCTTGCTATAATAGTTAAAATAGGCGAAAAAAACTAGCATATCCTAATATTTTAATTGTGCTTAGATGTATATTAGACATAGTAAGGAATATCGGTGTATGGTGAAGTAGTTTATCATAAACACAAACTTTGAGACTGGACATCGGATATATGTTGTGTATTTTATAATACAGATTATGCATAGAGCATTTACATTTATCATTACTAATCATTTTATAAAAGCATGTTGTATTTTATCTGATGTGTGGTGCTTCAATTATTTGAATCTTGATTTTTCATATCAGATATTTTTTACAACGTTAACACGAACATGTCTGCTATGCGAGCCCATACATATCTAACTTTCTTTCACAACAGGGTTGTACGGTGATTGGGGTTGCCGGGTCGGACGCAAAGGTCCAGTGGCTGAAGGAACTGGGCTTTGATCACGCCTTTAACTACAAGACGGAAGACATTGGCAAGTCTATCGAGAAGGTGGCTCCGGAAGGCGTACACTGTTACTGTGATATGGTACGTCCAACACGTCTAATTATATAATAGTTATAAATGGGTTCTCTACAGTTATGTATAGAATGTATCGTCGTATTGATACCAATATGTCCAAGAGTTCTGTCCTTATTTTCAGAATATCATGGAAATCAATGAAATTCTATTTTTCACCTGACATATCTACACCTCTGTACTCAGTATTTGTAGTCTGTCATAACGTATGTGTTTTGTGTATATAAGTGTGTACCTGTCACACACAAACGCCTGTCAGTGAACATCGTAATCTTGATTAATCTAATTAAATCCAGCTATCAGTTAACTTACCATATTCTACGGTTAAATATCATAGTAAATTATGATGAGTTTTAGGTTGGTCCTTGTGATTAATATGTAGAAGACTTATTTTCATTCATTCTTTAAGTCATTAACATAATGTCTAAGAAACGATAAAACATAGGACTTATAAAATCTTTCACACCCTTGGGGGTGAGACTAATAGAATCTTTCACCCCCTTGGGGGTGAGACAGGGGGATCTCAACCCGAGGGGTAAGATTCTTAAGTTACCAAACACGAGGCTTGCCGAGTGTTTGACAGCTTAAGAAATTTACCCCGAGAGTTGAGATCCCCTGTCTCACTCCCAAGGGGGTTAATGATTATTTTTCTCTTACCCTGTTTACCCTCTTATCTATCTAATATTGCCGTTACATCAATACAAGACAATGCTGATATATGCGATTGAATTGTCGACATGACGTCATTGTAATGTTGCTATGACGTCAAACAATTGTTGAGAACGAGTAAAGAGCACGTGTAGCTTGTCTCAACCCTAGGGTGAAATAAGAAACTCTCACACCGGTAAAATGGTGGATATCCCTGTCCAGGGTAAGAGAATACCCTGTCTCACTTTTCAAAATAAGGCATCGAGAACATAAGAACACTGAGCTTGAACTTGACTAGAATAAATGACTTTGAGCAGAGACAAATGCATAATTATATTTCTATTAATAAAATTAATTCCGTCATCATTTTTTTTCGGAAATATTTGTTGTATACTGGTATAAACATTAAATAGCGTTGTTTTTTTCTCTCAATCAAGATGGTTTGTAAAAGTGCAAAAAATGTAATTAGCGTTCATTGAAGGGAACGGTGACAATTACCGTTATTCATAATACGGGTTCTGGCTCATTATATCTGTGTGAAAGCTAAAATACATTGGAACGAAACTAAAAATGTTCCAAAATATATTTAAAGGTAATTCCTTCTTCAATAATTTATTCTAAAAGCATGTTGTAGACGCGCGTACGCTAATTAAGGATATGCACCATTCATATTTCATTAACGTTAAATCGATTCAGACGTCGAGGTAAAAAATAATATGTGTAGATTTGCCGGGTAATAAAACTACTGTAAATGACAAATACAACACAAATAAAATCTGCGCGAGCTTGGGTATTTGCACATTATATTGTTTGTATCAATAAATCATGATTCAAAAGAACAAGAGGATTAAGAACTACGCACTGTATCATAATACGATTCGGTGGCGGTAAAACATTGGTGTTTCTGGACAGTGAAGTCGCACATGGGTGAATCTACTTCGATGATATGTTAATTATATACTAATAAGCATCTTATGTTACAGGTCGGCGGAGAAATCAGTTTCCAAGCCATAAAACGCATGAGGAACCACGGCCGCATGGTGGTGTTAGGGTCTATATCGACGTACAACACCACAAACCCCACGGGTACGTGTACTGGTCATGACGGACTGAGAAACAATAGGCTCGATTGCAAGTAACATCAATCTTGTGTTGAGTCCTTCTTATCATCTCTATCAAATACATGTAACTTTACAACCGAACAAATGTAACGTTATTTTAATCAACAAGTTTAACTTTGTCATCTCAAGCACAACTTTATCATCTCAGTTAAACGTGTAGATTGTTACTAGATATATAGCTTTTATTAATCACATGTACCATAACGGGAAAATCACATGATGGACATTTTCAGTATTTGTTATTTGTATACACCATACAGGTCCATATCTCTTCACGGATATCCTCACCAAGTCACTGACAATAACTGGGTTCATCATTTTCAATATCCGAGAAAAATGGCATATTGGCGAGAAACAAATGGCAGAATGGATTAAACAGGTATGATTTATTTATAAAAATGAAAAACAAAGTTATAATTGGGATATTTTTAGTGACTTTCGCTTTTATTTGTAATCATTAATGACAATGTGAATGAGTAAATATAAAAACAATACCATCATTTAAATAAAACTACAGTTAACTTGATCAGTGCACAGGTACCAGCCTCGGGTGTCAATGGGTGTATTGACAGACGAGGCTAGTACCTGTGATCAATGAGGAAAATGTATTGCTTCCAGAATGAAATTCAGAATTAGCAGACATTTTCCCAGATTGTCGGTGTCCAGCACTAGATAGTTTATATCTAACTGAGAGGGTTTGGCTTACTGAGTCTCCGCATTATATCTAACGATAAACAAAAGACTGAAATATTAAATAATAAATGTTTTGCAGGGTAAACTGAAATATAGGGAGACAATAACCGACGGATTTGAACACATGCCGGAAGCCTTCCTCGGACTGTTCGAAGGGAAAAACACCGGCAAAGCTGTCGTGAAAGCGTGATCGGTTTGGACATTACAAAAAAACTTTGAATACTAGGTTTAAGAATTCTCTCTGCTTAATGTAGATTTGTTTAGTCCAAGCATTTCAAGACGTAGAACTTGTGTGGGCAGCATTATTTGATTTTGTACATCAACAACTTAGCTATGTAGGAACCGGTTTGAATCTTGTTTTATCACAAGCGTTACGAAACAATATATGCCGACACATTTCATATTAAAGAACAAATAGTTTCAGGACGTCATTGCATTGTTCATCGTAACATCAGGTGCACACGAGGTCACGTTTTCCCTCCAATAGTTTCAATATATCTATTTATTTATTGGGCAAAGTATAAAATGGCAAAAGTGAGATGTCTGCTTTATTGACATTGCATATTGATGTTTAGTGTAGGTCTTTGTTGACAGTAAAGTGTAACATATCTAATTTTGAACTGTATGTAAGCTGATGAAAGTAATAAAGAGCTTGAATTTTTAAAGGTCTTCCATTTATGTCCACGAAAACATTGTCCCTTCTGGTAACTCGGTTTAAAATGTTTTGGGTTGTAGACAAAGCTGATGGTGGTGTGTGTATTAGATCTCATCGTCGTCGGAAACCCAGGTTTTTCATTAACTGTCGGTTAAAATGACACGTATGTATCATACACTATCATTGGAATGGTATTTTTTTACCGGAAGTTGGTATATACCCCTAAAGTGTAATGTAACTTTGAACACAGCAGTTTAGATCCAGAAACAGTCATACCTAGGTTTTATAATGGGTGTTAATACCTATTATTATTTTAATTGATTTTGAGCTGACTCTGATTGGCTGAAACAACATCATGTGACCACCTGTAAAAGTAGTTATAAACCTGAGTGGTTTGCAGGTGTTCAAAAAAGTTGGTAGAACAAGTGTTATTAACCCCAATGACCTACACTGGGGAAAACACATAGATGAGATATGCAACAAATCTTACAGAACATTAGGATTATTGAAAAGAAATCTTCAATCATGTCCACTTGAAGTTAAACTCCAGGCATACAAAGGACTCATACGACCTGTCCTCGAATATGCGAGCACTGCCTGGGACCCACACCAAATATATCTTCAAGATCAGCTGGAAAAGGTACAAAAAAGAGCGGCAAGGTTCATAACATCAAACTACAACTACGACCCAGGTAGTATGACAGCAATTTTAGACCAGCTGCAACTTCCATCCCTAAAAGATCGCCGAACTCAAAACAGACTTATCCTCTTCTGCAAAGGCATACACGGTCAAGCCAACTTACCATCTGATCAATTGAAAGAACCATCTAGGACGACCAAGAACATGCATAGCCAACATTACCTGAGAGTCCAAACAAAGACAGACACTTTAAAATTCAGCTTCATACCAAACACAATTAAAGATTGGAACCTACTACCACCAGATATTTTCACCAAAATCAAAACAGCTAAAGATCCAGTTAAAACTCTCAGTGATATAGTAAGGGGGGTCCCACTTAAGTAAAGTACTTGACGCACGCGCGGTGTAATAATATCCTTGGATGTGTCACCGTATACCTATCAAGATCAAGATCAAGANGGAAGTTACATTTTTTTCTTCAATTTTGAAAAAAATCAAATAAAATAATAAAACTATTGTAGCATGGGGATTTCGGTCGATACATGGTTTTATCGACCTAGGTTAGCAATATTGACCTCGGACTGCGTCCTCGGTCAATATTGCTAACCTAGGTCGATAAAACCATGTATCGGCCTCATCACCATGCTATAATTGTATAATATAAACCTAGGTATAGCAGTGTACAATACCAAATATAACCTAGGTATAGGAGTGTACAATACCAAATATAAACCTAGGTATAGGAGTGTACAACACCCAATATAAACCTAAGTATAGCAGTGTACAACACCCAATATAAACCTAGGTATAGCAGTGTACTATACCCAATATAAACCTAGGTATAACAGTGTACAACACCCAATTTAAACTTAGGTATAACAGTGTACAACACCCAATATAAACCTAGGTATAACAGTGTACAACACCCAATATAAACCTAGGTATAGCAGTGTACAACACCCAATATAAACCTAGGTATAGCAGTGTACAACACCCAATATAAACCTAGGTATAACAGTGTACAACACCCAATATAAACCTAGGTATAACAGTGTACAACACCCAATATAAACCTAGGTATAACAGTGTACAACACCCAATATAAACCTAGGTATAACAGTGTACAACACCCAATATAAACCTAGGTATAACAGTGTACAACACCCAATATAAACCTAGGTATAACAGTGTACAACACCCAATATACACCTAGGTATAACAGTGTACAACACCCAATATAAACCTAGGTATAACAGTGTACAACACCCAATATAAACCTAGGTATAACAGTGTACAACACCCAATATAAACCTAGGTATAACAGTGTACAACACCCAATATAAACCTAGGTATAACAGTGTACAACACCCAATATAAACCTAGGTATAACAGTGTACAACACCCAATATAAACCTAGGTATAACAGTGTACAACACCCAATATAAACCTAGGTATAACAGTGTACAACACCCAATATAAACCTAGGTATAACAGTGTACAACACCCAATATAAACCTAGGTATAACAGTGTACAACACCCAATATAAACCTAGGTATAACAGTGTACAACACCCAATATAAACCTAGGTATAACAGTGTACAACACCCAATATAAACCTAGGTATAACAGTGTACAACACCCAATATAAACCTAGGTATAACAGTGTACAACACCCAATATAAACCTAGGTATAACAGTGTACAACACCCAATATAAACCTAGGTATAACAGTGTACAACACCCAATATAAACCTAGGTATAACAGTGTACAACACCCAATATAAACCTAGGTATAACAGTGTACAACACCCAATATAAACCTAGGTATAACAGTGTACAACACCCAATATAAACCTAGGTATAACAGTGTACAACACCCAATATAAACCTAGGTATAACAGTGTACAACACCCAATATAAACCTAGGTATAACAGTGTACAACACCCAATATAAACCTAGGTATAACAGTGTACAACACCCAATATAAACCTAGGTATAACAGTGTACAACACCCAATATAAACCTAGGTATAACAGTGTACAACACCCAATATAAACCTAGGTATAACAGTGTACAACACCCAATATAAACCTAGGTATAGCAGTGTACAACACCCAATATAAACCTAGGTATAACAGTGTACAACACCCAATATACACCTAGGTATAACAGTGTACAACACCCAATATAAACCTAGGTATAGCAGTGTACAACACCCAATATAAACCTAGGTATAATAGTGTACAACACCCAATATAAACCTAGGTATAGTAAAGCAGTGTACATTACCCAATATAATTCTAGGTATAACAGTGTACATTACCCAATATAAACCTAGGTATAACAGTAAACATCACCCAATATAAACCTAGGTTTAGCAGTGTACAACACCCATTATAATCCTAAGTATAACAGTGTACAACACCCACTAAAAACCTATATATAGCAGTGTACATCACCCTATATACACCTAGGTATAACAGTGTACAACACCAAATATAAACCTAGGTATAACAGTATACAATACCCAATATTAACCAAGGTGTAACAGTGTACAACACCAAATATAAACCTAAGTATCATAGTGTACAACACCCAATATAAACCTAGGTATAGTACAGCAGTGTACATCACCCTATATACACCTAGGTATAACAGTGTACAACACCAAATATAAACCTAGGTATAGCAATGTACAACACCCAATATACACCTAGGTATATCAGTGTACATTACCCAATATAAACCTAGGTTTAGCAGTGTACAACACCAAATATAAACCTAGGAAATAACAGTGTACATTACCCAATATAAACCTAAGTATAACAGTGTACAATACCCAATATAAACTTAGGTATAGCAGTGTACAACACCCTATATTCACCTAGGTATTATAAACAATGTACATCACCCTATATACACCTAGGTATAACAGTGTACAACACCCAATATAAACCTAGGTATAGCAGTGTACAACACCCTATATACACCTTGGTATAACAGTGTACATCACCCAATATAAACCTAGGTATAACAATGTACAATACCCAATATTAACCTAGGTATAGCAGTTTGCAACACCCAATATAAACCTTAGTATAACAATGTACAACACCCAATATAAACCAAGGTATAGCAGTGTACAACACCCAATATAAACCTAGGTAAAACAGTGTACGACACCCAATATAAACCTAGGTATAGCAGTGTACGACACCCAATATAGACCTAGGTATAGCAGTGTACAACACCCAATATACACCTAGGTATAACAGTTTACATCATCCAATATAAACCTAGGCATAGCAGTGTACAACACCTAATATAAACCCAGGTATAACAGGGAACAACACCAAATATAGACCTAGGTATATCAGTGTACAACACCCTATTTACACATAAGTATAACAGTGTACAACACCCAAGATAAACATAGGTATAGGAGTGGACAACACCCAATATAGACCAAAGTATAGCAGTGTACAATACCCAATATTAACCAAGGTGTAACAGTGTACAACACCCAATATAAACCTAGGTATAGCAGTGTACAACACCCTATATACACATAAGTATAACAGTGTACTATACCCAATATAAACCTAGGTATAACAGTGTACATCACCCAATATAAACCTAAGTATAGCAGTGTACAACACCAAATATAAACCTAGGTATAACAGTGTACATCATCCAATATAAACCTAGGTTTAACAGTATACAACACCCAATATAAACCTAAGGTATAACAGTGTACATTACCCAATATAATACTAGGTATAGCAGTGTACAATACCCAATATAAACCTATGTATAGCAGTGTACAACACTGTATTTCCTTCCGTATTTTCTCAGACACAACTGTGCTATCTAACACTAAAATATTTTAAACAAGAGTACTGCAGGCTGGAACAATATACGCCCTTCGAATACCATATAGTGTTATATTCTTTTTTACATTGAAATAAGATCTGCATCATTCTAACAATGGTTAGCTGACATGCTATAAACAAGAGGCCCAGAGGGCCTGTACTGCTCACCTGAATATGTTTAAAATAATTGGTATGAGGTCAAGATATAGCACTCAACGGTAGGTGCTGTAACTACATATGAAATTTCAGAAAAATCCATCCAGTACTTGAGATATAGCGAGAACAAACTTCAAACAGAGCCCCACCCCTATGCCTCTAGGGGGGTCATACCCTCCAATTATAAACAAAGAGGCCCAGAGGGCCTGTATCGCTCACCTGAATGTGTTTAAAACAATTTGTATGAGGTAAAGATATAGCTCTCAATGGTAGGTGCTGTAACTACATATGAAATTTTAGAAAAATCCATCCAGTACTTGAGACATAGCGAGAACAAACTTCAAACAGAGCCCCACCACTTTGTCTCTAGGGGGGGTCATACCCACTGTTTATATAAAATTGAGTCCCCTTGGCCCAAGGATGCTCCAGACTAAATAAGGATAAAATCCCTTAATCCTGATGGTCGAAGAAGGATTTTAAAGGTTTTACCTCTATTTCTCCTATTGGGCCCCGCTCTTCTGCCCCCTGGGAGACCATACCCACTGCTTGTACAAAAATGAGTCCCCTTGGCCCAAGGATGCTCCAGACTAAATAAGGATAAAATCCCTAAACCCGTATGGTAGAAAAAGGATTTTAAACGTTTTACCTCTATCTCCCCTACTGGGCACCACCTCTCTGCCTCCAGGGGGTTGAGACAGACCATTTATACAAAATTGGTTCCCCTTCACCCAAGGATGCTTCATACCAAATTTGGACAAAATCCTGTCATTCGTACAGAAGAAGGTATTTGATGAATTTGCTATGTTTCCCTATTGGGCCCCTCCCTTCTGCCCCAAGGAGAGCAACACTCACTGTTTATACAAAATTGAGTCACTTTTGCCAAAGGATGCTCAAGAATAAATTAGGATAATATCCCTTAATCCCTATGGCAGAAGGATTATATAAAGGTTTTACTTCTATTTCACCTATTGGGCCCCGCCCCTCAGGTCCCAGGGGGTCACACCCACTGTTTGTCTAAAGTTGGTTCCTCTTTACCCAAGGATGCTCCACCCTTCTGACCAGGTGAGCTAACAAGAGATCCCAGAGGGATCTTGGCGCCCACCTTTGTACCATCTTCATTAGTTCTTTGTCAGTTCGATCTTTTCTCTTCTTTCCTCTAATCTGTGTGATCGAGTCATGTTAACAGTAAATGCACCTTGAGGTAACTTTTGATCTAAACTTAATACTGATGTGTATGAAAGCCAACCTTCAAAGTGAGTTTGTCATTTCACATATTTACTAGTACAGTACAATAGAATCGATCAATGCATGAGAAAGATCTGTTTAGTTCCTCTTTTAATCCATTTTGTTTTTATGATCAGTCTCAAAATAAAACATGCACAACGAGAGATCAAGGGGAACCTGCATATAAAATTTGAGAAAGATCCCTGTGGTACTTCCCAAGAAATAGTGATAACAAACTTTCAATATCAAAATCAAAGATGGCTGCCTGTCGGCCATGTTGTTTATCCGATCAGTCTCAAAAGTTGCCCTGCACAGCTATGGACTAAGGGGAACTTACATATGAAATTTGAGAAAGATCCCTCTGGCACTTCTTGAGAAATAGCGATAACAAACTTTCAATATCAAAATCCAAGATGGCTGCCTGTCGGCCATGTTGTTTATCCTATCAGTCTCAAAAGTTGCCCAGCACAGCTATGGACTAAGGGGAACTTAGAAATGAAATTTGAGAAAGATCCCTCTGGTACTTCTTGAGAAATGACGATAACAAACTTTCAATATCAAAATCCAAGATGGCTGCCTGTCGACCATGTTGTTTATCCTATCAGTCTCAAAAGTTGCCCAGCACAGCTAAGGACCAAGGGGAACCTACATATAAAATTTGAGAAAGATCCCTTTGGTCCTTCTTGAGAAAAAGCGATAACAAACTTTCACTATCAAAATCCAAGATGGCTGCCGGTCGGCCATGTTGTTTATCCTATCAGTCTCAAAAGTTGCCCTGCACAACTAAGGACCAAGGGTAAGCTACATGTAAAATTTGAGAAAGATCCCTTTGGTACTTCTTGAGAAAAAGCGATAACAAGAATTGTTAAAGGTCGGACGACGGACGGTGGACGACGGACGGACGACGGACTATAGACACAGGGTGATTTGAATAGCCCACCATCAGATGATGGTGGGCTAAAAACTGAAATAAACAAAGGGCAATTACTTTTGCAAAAATTGTTCAATCAAAATTCTTTTCAAGGAAACCCAACAACATATCATGATTATTTAGCCTACTAAGTTTCAAAGAAATCCGTCAAAAAATGTAGGCAGTGATCTCCGGACAAAAAATCAAATACTGAAATGAACAAAGGGCAATAACTTTTGGAAAAATTGTTGAATCAGAATTCTTTTAAGGGAGACACAACTTCATATCATGATTATAATGTATATTAAGTTTCAAAGAAATCGGTCAAAAATGTAGGAGGAGATTGCAGGACAAACAAAAGTTTACGCCGGACGGACAACCCCATACCATAATACTTCTGTCAAATTTGAAGGGCATATAAAAATTCAAGAAACACCTTGTCAGTTTTTACAAATATTTATTCACACTTAATACAAATAACAATGCTATTTTTCACGTGAACCGACACAAATGTACCGACCTGTTGGTATTCATTCACACAAAGAATTTTGGGTTTACACTGAGCCACAGTCTTCAAACATGCATCAGTTTCAAACTCAATCTGAATGTACTGAATCACTTAGGCTGATTCCATAGAATAATTTACAATCTTTTTTCCAGATTCATCATATGGTTTTTGTTTCGGCATCTGTGAACGAAAAAAATAAAAATATAATAGGTTAATGTCCATGTATAATGCTTACATGTTACAGAAATTAATTATATATCACACTTATGGTTTGTTGGCTATCAATATTTCCCCCAAATGTTTGATGATGTGAAATTGATACTGACGATGTAGAACATGGATATGGAGTGGTTGAAGTCACTTAGCTTCACTAAAGTAAAATATTATGCTTTAGAAATATTATACTTGTAAGGTAATGTTAAACTTGTAGGGTAATGAGATACTTGTAGGGTAATGTTATACTTGTAGGGTAATGTTATATTTGTAGAGTAATGTTATACTTGTATGGTAATGTTATACTTGTAGGGTAATGAGATACTTGTAGGGAAATGTTATACTTGTATGGTAATGGGATACTTGTAGGGTAATGAGATACTTGTAGGGAAATGTTATACTTGTATGGTAATGGGATACTTGTATGGTAATGTTATACTTGTATGGTAATGTTTTACTTGTAGGGTAATGTTATACTTGTAAGGTAATGTTTTACTTGTAGAGTAATGAGATACTTGTAGGGAAATGTTATACTTGTAGGGTAATGTTATACTTGTAGGGTAATGTTATACTTGAAGGGTAATGTTATACTTGTAGGGTAATGTTATACTTGTAGGGTAATGTTATATTTGTAGGGTAATGTTATACTTGTAGGGTAATGTTATACTTGTAGGGTAATGTTATACTTGTAGGGTAATGTTATACTTGTAGGGTAATGTTATACTTGTAGGGTAATGTTATACTTGTAGGGTAATGTTATACTTGTAGGGTAATGTTATACTTGTAGGGTAATGTTATACTTGTAGGGTAATGTTATACTTGTAGGGTAATGTTATACTTGTAGGGTAATGTTATACTTGTAGGGTAATGTTATACTTGTAGGGTAATGTTATACTTGTAGGGTAATGTTATACTTGTAGGGTAATGTTATACTTGTAGGGTAATGTTATACTTGTAGGGTAATGTTATACTTGTAGGGTAATGTTATATTTGTAGAATAATGTTATACTTGTAGGGTTATGTTATACTTGTAGGGTAATGTTATACTTGTAGGGTAATGTTATATTTGTAGGGTAATGTTATACTTGTAGGGTAATGTTATACTTGTAGGGTAATGTTATACTTGTAGGGTAATGTTATACTTGTAGGGTAATGTTATACTTGTAGGGTAATGTTATACTTGTAGGGTAATGTTATAATTGTAGGGTAATGTTATACTTGTAGGGTTATGTTATATCAATTCAGAATCTATAAATTGTGTTCAGAGTCATGTGAAAAATATGTCCTACAACTGTTTAAACCAAATTAGTCCTCCCAATATGAATACTTTTTTCGACCACCAACCAATTCAACAGCTGGTGATCAGAAACATACAATACATGGATGAACCACCAACATCATTTGTGATCAGAAATGCTCAATTGATTTCATTATAATCCATTAGCATTTCATTCTAAACTACAAGCATTTCATTCTAAACTACAAGCATTTCAACATAATCCATTTCATTGTAACACACTATGATTTTATTGTAACTCACTGTGAATTTATTGTAACACACTATGATTTTATTGTAACACACTGTGAATTTATTGTAACACACTGTGAATTTATTGTAACACACTGTGATTTTATTGTAACACACTATGATTTTATTGTAACACACTATGATTTCATTGTAACACACTATGTTTCTATTGTAATGAACACACTATGATTTCATTGTAAAACACTTTGATTCTATTGTAACACACTATGATTTTATTGTAACACACTGTGAATTTATTGTAACACACTGTGAATTTATTGTAACACACTATGATTTCATTGTAACACACTATGATTTCATTGTAATACACTATGATTCTATTGTAACACAGTATGATTTCATTGTAACCCACTATGATTTCATTGTAGCACACTGTGATTTTATTGTAACACACTATGATTTTATTGTAACACACTATGATTTCATTGTAACACACTTGCATTTCATTGTAACACACTTGCATTTCATTGTAAATATGTCTGAAAGCCACCGCCTACTGACATGACATATTTTTATCCTCCGTTCACTCATGACATGAAAACCTCTAAGAAAAAGCTTTTGTATCGAAAGAAAAAAGGTGATCAATGATAATTCATTTCATAAAGAAGGGGCCTGACAGGTACCTGCCAGTGACAAGGTGACATGATCAAAGTACTATAAGCAGCTGCTGTGTTATCAACTATTTGTTAATGAACTGATTAGCATCATATAAACTGCCAGAAATACAAGTGTGTCTGCTATATATGTGAAACTTATGTAAAATGACCAACCATAGAATAAACAATGTGACGAATTAAAGGACAAGTGACAGTCAATATACTTACCATTGGAAAGTAATTACGCTGTCCAAGATGATCGTTAAGGATTAGAAATCCTATCATAATAACAACAAAAATAAGCTGTGACCCCCTGAAAGATATAAAAATATTGATATAGTCAATTTCTGTTGAGGAGTCTGTTAATAATCCATCAATACTTTACCCTCGAGGTCCCTCTCTGACTAAAAGTGTTTTTATATAATTAGCAATCATCTCCAGATCAGCAACTTTATATCACCGATTTATAACAAAAGTTAACTTTGTTGTACCAGTGATGTATCAATCCTATCCAAATATGTAGGTGATATCAATGTTAATTGTAACAATACCCTTACCTTTACACAGGTGATATCACTGTTAATTATAACAATACCCTTACCTTTACACAGGTGATATCACTGTTAATTGTAACAATACCCTTACCTTTACACAGGTGATATCACTGTTAATTATAAGTATACCCTTACCTTTATACAGGTGATATTACTGTTAATGGTAACAATTCCCTTCCCATTACACAGGTGATATCACTGTTAATGATAACAATACGCTTACCTTTACACAGGTGATATCAGTGTTAATTGTAACAATACCCTTACCATTACACAGGGGATATCACTGTTGATTGTAACAGTACCCTTACCTTTACACAGGTGAGATCACTGTTAATGGTAACAATTCCCTTACCTTTACACAGGTAATATCACTGTTAATGGCAACAATACCCTTACCTTTATACAGGTGATATTACTGTTAATTGTAACAATACCCTTACCTTTACACTGGTGATATCACTGTTAATGGTAACAATGCCCTTACCTTTACACAGGTGCTATCACTGTTGATGGTAACAATACCCTTACCTCTACACAGGTGATATCACTGTTGATGGTAACAATACCCTTACATTTACACAGGTGATATCACAGTTAATGGCAACAACACCCTTACATTTATACAGGAGATATCACTGTTATTTGTAACAATACACTTACCTTTATACAGGTGATATTACTGTTAATGGTAACAATTCCCTTACCTTTACACAGGTGATATTACTGTTAATTATAACAATACCCTTACCTTTATACAGGTGCTATTACTGTTAATGGTAACAATTCCCTTACCTTTACACAGGTGAGATCACTGTTAATGGTAACAATTCCCTTCCCATTACACAGGTGATATCACTGTTAACGGTAACAATTCCCTTACCTTTACACAGGTGAGATCACTGTTAATGGTAACAATATCCTTACCTTTACACAGGTGATATCAGTGTTAATTGTAACAATACCCTTACCATTACACAGGGGATATCACTGTTGATTGTAACAGTACCCTTACCTTTACACAGGTGATATTACTGTTAATTATAACAATACCCTTAACTTTACACAGGTGATATCACTGTTGATGGTAACAATACCCTTACATTTACACAGGTGATATCACAGTTAATGGCAACAACACCCTTACATTTATACAGGAGATATCACTGTTATTTGTAACAATACACTTACCTTTATACAGGTGATATCAATGTTAATTGTAACAATACCCTTACCATTAGGCAGGTGATATCACTGTTGATTGTAACAATACCCTTACCTTTTCACAGGTGATATCACTGTTAACTGTAACAATACCCTTACCTTTATACAGGTGATATCATTGTTAATTGTAACAATACCCTTACTTTTACACAGGTGATATCACTGTTAACGGTAACAATTCCCTTACCTTTACACAGGTAATATCACTGTTAATGGCAACAATACCCTTACATTTATACAGGTGATATCACTGTTAATCAGGTAACAATACCCTTACCTTTGCACAGGTGATATCACTGTTAATCAGGTAACAATACCCTTACCTTTTCACAGGTGATATCACTGTTAATTTTAACAATACCCTTACCTTTACACATGTGATATCACTGTTAATGATAACAATACGCTTACCTTTACACAGGTGATATCACAGTTAATTGTAACAATACCCTTACTTTTACACAGGTGATATCACTGTTAATTGTAAAAATACCCTTACCTTTACACAGGTTATATCACTGTTAATTATAACAATCCCCTTACCTTTACACAGGTGATATTACTGTTAATTATAACAATACCCTTACCTTTATACAGGTGCTATTACTGTTAATGGTAACAATTCCCTTCCCATTACACAGGTGATATCACTGTTAACGGTAACAATACCCTTACCTTTTCACAGGTGATATCACTGTTAACGGTAACAATTCCCTTACCTTTACACAGGTGAGATCACTGTTAATGGTAACAATACACTTACCTTTACACAGGTGATATCAGTGTTAATTGTAACAATACCCTTACTTTTACACAGGTGATATCACTGTTGATTGTAACAGTACCCTTACCTTTACACAGGTAATATCACTGTTAATGGCAACAATACCCTTACCTTTATACAGGTGCTATTACTGTTAATGGTAACAATACCCTTACCATTACACAGGTGATATCCCTGTTAATTATAACAATACCCTTAACTTTACACAGGAGATATCACTGTTAATTTTAACAATACACTTACCTTTACACAGGTGATATCACAGTTAATGGCAACAACACCCTTACATTTATACAGGAGATATCACTGTTATTTGTAACAATACACTTACCTTTATACAGGTGATATTACTGTTAATGGTAACAATACGTATGCCCTTACCTTTATACAGGTGATATCAATGTTAATTGTAACAATCCCCTTACCTTTACACAGGTGATATCACTGTTAACGGTAACAATTCCCTTACCTTTACACAGGTGATATCACTGTTAATGGTAACAATACCCTTACCTTTACACAATTACTAACATCATTTGTAATCAATATGCAATGTCAAATTAAATATATTACAACTAATATAATAGTGATAGCGCTAATTAGTGTAATATAGCATTGCCCTTGGTGGAAGTATTGGTCATTGTCACATTATGTGGTACAAGGTTATAGAAAGACAAAACATTAACTATTGTAAAATTATTGTAATCATTATAAAATCAACATAAATTCATTTTGTCGATAGATATTTTCCATATAAGGTTATAAATGTAATATGATGCTAACGGGTGTTAACATATACAGATATACATAAATAAATAGTATCTTTTAGGTATTCAAGGACGACAATGTCTATTAATAAAAAAGAGGACATAATTGTCTTCAAGTCACGTCAAAAATGGAACATTTCTTTACTTTCATTGCATGGCCTTTTTTAATACAAGAACATCCAGATTATTTATAGGCAGAGTTGAAAGTAATTAAACTGTAGACAAGTTAACAGATTGAGTCTAAAAACCAGATGAATAAGACTAATAATAGTATCATACTATAAAAGTTACACAGCTTATGTACCTACACCTTTATATACTATACAACAAGGGTGATGAATTGTTGATAGGTAATTTTTCTATAATACAATATTAATTTTGTTCCACTAATCTCAAACGTCTTCAATATCAAATCATTAAAATCTAAACATGCATCTCCAATTGATTTGTTAAAAGTATATTATTAAAAAATTTATATTCATATTTATAATGATATAAACATATACGTATTCTCAGGGACATGGATTCATTTTATTTATCTTGGGATTACAAAACAACTCTTTTAAAGGTTTGAGTTAGGGATTGTTGTGATCGGACTATCAACATTTCATATCTTTGTTCAAGATAGAAGGCAATAACCTGATAAAATATTTGGTCATTTTATTTTTCAATTTTCTTTTTGGTAACATGATAACATCACATGGCTGTAAAAGTAAGTGCCTGCATACATGGTGTCACAAATATGCACTTAGGGGTCAGGGAAAACTGAAGTTTTGTTTAATATTAATTGTTGATAAAAGGAGCAAGTTTTGTGACCTTGAAAGTAGGACAAGGTAAGTTTTTCTAGCAAACTTTGTCAGGCTTAATCTACGAAAGTTAACTAACTAAATATAACGAATATTCTATGCCCAATACTTATTAGAAATGTTGGGGTGAATGAGTTAAAGGAAAAGGGTGTTTACAGGGGATGAAGTGTCGTTAGTTCTGATGGGGTTCCTGTTTGTATGCCTTGCTTAAACTGCTGTTGTTTCAAATCACTACTTTTGGAAATCCTACAACTCAGTTTGATAATTGTGGTAACACTACAGATGTCTTTGCCAGGTTTTAAAACATATGGCATTGGTACCTTCACTGCAAAACAAACGTCTTGCAAATAAACATGTCACAAGTAATTAATATATCGGTATATATATTGAAAATGGAAAGGAAACATGGCTATACGGAGCAAGAAATTATTGAGTGGATACTACAGAAACGTAATATCATACTGTACTTACAGGCGCGCCCGAGAAGCATATTGAAAACTCTCACTGTATCTGGCCTGCATTTCGACATCCCTATCATAGTATGGCTGAAATTACAAAAAGAATAAAACTATTAAAATTATGGTAAATAAAATATGAATATACAATGTAACAATCCAATAGCTTCATATTTCTTTCTAAATAGATTGAACACCAAAAAATTTAATAAAACGTAAGTTTTCGAGAAGCCCTAGGCCTGGTTATAAATGGTACTGCACTTTCATTTGTTTTTCTAAGGTTTGTCCTATACATGCTATTAAGAATAACTATCTCCAATACGATTCCAGTTCACAAACGCAGCACAGGAATATTGATTTGAAAATGAACACACCTGACAGTAAAATGTGTAAAGAAAACAGTAATTATTGCTTCCTTGTAGGTTTTTAGAAATGGAAACTTAAACATTAATCTGCAAATTTTAAGGAATATACATTATGTAATTATAAGTGATATATTATATATATATATATATATATATGAATCTTCCATTTTCAGCTTCAACTAGCTACAATCAGTTAAATTGTAAGCTGTCCATAATAAAACATGGACCTGAATAGCTCTATAGATCAGTCTTGTATTGTTCAACTGCATATTTGAGCAATCATGGCAAAATATTCTTATTGAAGGTCACATTGAAAACATTTTCTCCTTTTTGAGTAGAGGAAAAAATTCTTGGTTGTTATCCTGTAATTTTAAAAGTCTCATGTGGAAATTAAAGATACATGTACTCTACTTTGATCTGGGAAACATTTTTCAAATATAAATTACAGATCACTGTGACCTTTGGTCTCAAAATAGACAGGTTCTTCATGCCTCAATTTGCGGCCATTTTGATAAATCTAGAAACACATTTTTTTAAGAAATGAGCTTTTATATGGCAATGGGACCATGACTGTTGACTACCAAATTGGATTCCTCCCCACCCTATGGATTATCTTGTGAAGTTTCAATAACAAAGTCCTAGTTTGAAAGATGCATATATTCTTTACCTGCAATATTAATCTGATAATAATTTTCACACAATGTATTAATCTGATCTCATCTTTGACCTTTAGTTCTGACCCCTAGATAAATATGGTTCCATCAAATCTTCATCTCCTGGCTAATCATCCTGTGAAATTTCAATATATACCATGTAGGTGGAATTACGTTCTAGCTTTCACTGTAACTAGTCTAGCAGGGAAGTACAATTTCATATTATAGAATTACATGTAGCCTGCTGACAGTTCCAAAAACAATCTAGGAGTCAAACGTCAACACTTTAACAAAGGAGGCACACTTATGGAATTGAACAACTCGGTCTGGAAAAAAGTTGCATGGCACTCATGTGATTTTGACCTTTGAATCCAAAAAGGTTACGGCTTTCACCCTGGTAGTTATATCATATCTGCAACTATATATGCTATAGTTAACTGTATTATTACAGTATTATTCTTTGTGTTTTATTTTTGAGTTAATGTTTATATCTGATTGGGGCTCTGAAAATTTGAAAATGTTTGCACTACATGTAGTTCTAATACTTTTCTGCTTTTACTAATGTGTGAATTTCGATGAATGTAGAAGGAACACAACTGTTATAGCGAGGAAATTTAAATCAATTTGTCTACACAGATGTGTGATACTAGTATCAAGGGTAAAATTATAACAACAGAAGAAAAATATAAACATTTTGTATATCCACACATGTAGCTTACAAGCTGGACATTCATGTTTTATTTTACTTACACCCGGTTCCATAAAATTCTTTTTTGTCTCTGGATAATCCCACACTTCCATATTGTCTCTGTCCCAAGCACCTACTCCTTTCAGATCAGGGTAGTCACCACTGTACGGCCTAGGTTTGTAGTCGTCTTTGATAAGACCATATTTTTTAGAAACTCTTTCCTTCTCTTTATCTGTCATAGGGGCTTTTTCCTCTGGTTTCCAAAGGTAGTTCCAGGGAGCAACATCTGAATCACATCAAAAGTGAAACAAAACTGATACATGATCATAATCATATAGGATACATAAATATGTAAAACTTACAATATGGGCTACATGCTGCATTGTGGCCTATGATATTTGTGCAATTTTCAAATTCATTTCCAGGCCTTACATGTCATCAACAGACAACTAGCTACTATAATTCAGATAACGGACTTGTCTACACCCCTGCCACTTCTGTAACATACAAAGGGGCATATGTCACCTATCCAGGAACAGACCTTGCTTGATGTTGCTGAACGAATGAGCATTTTACATGTATATATATATATATAAAATAAAACAAAACATTTTTTAATTTAGACAGTAGGTTTAATAAAGAATTTATAATAAGAGCTCTAAAAATGTTCTAGAAAAAAACACTTTTCATTTCAATGGTAACCATTATCAGCAATGTAAGGGTACGGCAATTAGGTACTTCAGTTGCCCCTACTTATGCTACTTTAGTGTTAGAATATTTGGAAGAGATTCTTTATGACAAAATAGAACAGAGTTCAGATAAAGAATTTTCTGATTTTTTGAAAGAAAAAAAAATGAGATTTTTAGATGGTTTTATCATCTGGCCCCCGGACAAGAATGTCTCTGATTTTCAGTCAGAGTTAAATTCCTTACACTTAGATATACAGTATACTATGGAAGTTAGTGATGATAAACTTCCTTTTCTAGATGTTTTGGTAGAATTAACAAACTGACACATATCTACAGATTTGTATAGCAAACCAACTGATTCCCAGATCTAGAACTATCTTTGTTTTCATTCCAGTCACACCAAACATACATAAGTTAACATTCCATTTTGTTTGACATCTTGATAAGTTATCGTAGCCAGTGATAAATATAAGTGAGAGGAGCGATTAAATAATTTAGTAGATAATCTTAGAAAACAATGCTATCCAGACCAACTTATATTTAATGGTATTCAAAGCGCTAAGGAGAAGGGTCCAATTTCAGTTAGCGACCCAAATAGTGCCAATACAAGTCAAAAGGATTTTTTTTTTTTTTTGTAACTTAAGGATATTATACCGTTTGTTACAACATTCAACCTTAACAATTTTAACATGTTTCCAATTATGAAAGTTCATGAAGAAATTTTAAAGAATAGCAAAAAAATAAAACGTGTCTAGGAGAAGAAGAAAATATTTAATTGCCAAAGACAACCAAGGAATCTGAAACGTTTATTGTGCAAGTCAAAATTTGATGAGAAAATAAATTTAAATTACAGCGTGACAAAGTGTATGAAACATAGATGTGGAACATGTAGTATGATTGTTGAATGTAACTCGTTTGCTTTTAAGAATGGCAAAATATTTGAAATGAGATGTAATATGAATTGTAAATCAAGAAATGTAATATATATATGCTGTAATTTGTAAGAGATGCTCTGAATTTTAAATAGGTCAAACTGGAAATGGACTATGTCAAAGAATGGCAGTCTATCGTCAACAAACCAAAACTGAAAGTTTACGAAATTTATTAGTTAACAAACATTTTCATCACATTTCAAATGATCAGTTTTTAGTTTTACCAATTTACCAAATGAACACATGATCAGATACTATTGCAAGAGAGTTAAAAGAGAAAAAATGTTTATTAGAATTCTAAAACCGGGCCTGAACACGGGAAATTTCGAGCACCTCTTTTAATTTTAAATTTACAAATTCTGTATGTTTAATATGCTCGGATGAACTAAGTACTGTGCTTTGAAATTCATTTTTACTATCAGATTTTTTAACTTTTACTATTGAACAATGTATTCATTTGAGCATTTGTAATTTGGGTTATATATTGTGCAGTTGCCAATTATTCTGCATCGAATCGCAAGCATTCCGAGAAAAAACGGCTGACAGAAAGTAAATTACTTTTGTTTACGTGATATATGACAGTATCAAAGTATTATTGGGTGCATAACACTTTAACATGGACATTTTGAATAGTGTTGGGTCGGTATCGGAGACAGTATTTTTAGACCATTTATAATATTATTCGCCTCCGGTCGTATTTGTTTCTTGCACAGAGTTGTTTCTAGCCTCAGTATGCTGGTCAATTATTCTGCATCCGATTGCATATTCTCTGAGGAAAATATATACGGCAGAAAGAAAGTAAATTACTCTGTTTTAGGTGATATTTCACAGCGTCGAAGTAGTATTGGGAGCGGCAAAGTTACTGTATAAAGGGGAATAACTCGAGAAAACACATTTTACTGATAGGCTGTTGGTCGAACTGACTGTTTTCTGCACCAAATTGCATATATTCCCCGATAAAATATGGCATATAGAAGTGAAGTAAATAACTTCTACAATGTTGATATTCGTCAGTATTAAAGTAGTATTGGGTGCATAACTGTGGGGTAGTATAAGATAGTATCTGGGTCATAGTCACTGCATTTCAGTGATGTTTTCTGCACCAAATTGCATATTTTTCGACAAAATATGGCAGATAGGAGTAAAAAAACTTCTCTAAATATGAGAATTCACAGTATTAAAGTAGTATTGGGTACATAACTGGGTCGTATGGGGTAGTATAAGATAGTATCTGGGTCATAGTCGCTGCATTTCAGTGATGTTTTCTGCACCAAATTGCATATTTTTCGACAAAATATGGCAGATAGGAGTAAAAAACTTCTCTAAATATGAGAATTCACAGTATTAAAGTAGTATTGGGTACATAACTGGGTCGTATGGGGTAGTATAAGATAGTATCTGGGTCATAGTCGCTGCATTTCAGTGATGTTTTCTGCACCAAATTGCATATTTTTCGACAAAATATGGCAGATAAGAGTAAAAAAACTTCTCTAAATATGAGAATTCACAGTATTAAAGTAGTATTGGCTACATAACTGGGTCGTACCTATGGGGTAGTATTGGGTATTCAGACGCGCCGAGTATCAGGGGGTGAGGTATCTAGTGGGTGCGATACGTATACAAATAATGTTATATATATTCTTAAACAAAAATTATTTATTAACTCAGTGATGTGCTAAACCTATATAAACCATACTGTAACTTGTGTAAGGGCACACAATAAATATAATCGGACTAATATAACCCATCCCGCAAAATATAAGTCACACGTCATGAGTGTGCTACTGTAATTTCCATATGAATGAGATAATGTTTTACCTCCAGCAGCAACTGATGATGTATGAATCCATCTTTGATGTCTTGTAACTTGGTTTAATATTCGACTGGCCTTCGAAAACCCTCGAACGGAGGCCATTTTGCAAGGACATTGAAGAGTTGTACATAAGGGAGGTTACTCTATACTTCTTAGTTCGTTGGCAGGATGGGAGACGGAGTATATTCTATCTTACCGTGATGAGATAACATTGTTTTGTAAATATTAGCAAACTGCGAAATAAGATTACTGACTACTTTAGGTAAGTTGTTTGCATTGCATTGTGTATTCGTGGACGACGGACTCTGATTCCATTCAACCGATTTTTGACGAGACGTTTATATATTATATCCCATAATATATTGGGTCGAAATGAGTCTTAAATATGTCCTTTATTCTGACTAGGTAAAAAGCTGCAATTTAGATAAAAAAAATCCAATCTATTGATCTCATATATTAACCAGTGCTTAAGGTTGTTATTTTAAGATAGAAGTACTTTTTTAATATTGTACTGTACACTCTACTCTGTGGTATTTATGTATTATTATTTGTAATATGCCTATTTTTACCTGAATAAATATCATTATTATTATTATTACCTTTTAGTTTTACCAGATATTTTTGAGTTATTTCACTTTATTCCCCATTTCAGTAATACAATTGTTACTAAATGGTAACTGTTACCCAAATGCACCATTGTGCCCAACTGTTTTTAGCGACTAAAATATCCTGAATTTTACAGAGTTCATTTGGAATTATAGTAGTCCATGTTTCCTCTGGTTCTTACACAAGACTTGAAGTGGACATGTCATGTGGTCTGGACACATATGATCTAACAGTCCGAATGTCTCGTATTGGAGACAGAAGAAACTTGGGCTCATACTTTTTAAAAACGGTATTTATTTCTGGAAATATAAAGATGTTTATGTTGTGCGTCAACGACTGGCCAAAATGTGTAGAAGTAATTAATGCACAGGTTTATATCGCTATTCAATAATAGCGGTATTGGACTGTATCAAACACCGACAGCCAACTTCTTTTACACCTGTTCACATAACTATGACAGGTTTGTATTGCTCTTAGGATTACAGCTGCCTTTAAGCGCTGGAGGAAATTTCCATTTAGTTCAATTTCTGAGTGTCAGACTGAGAAGCTGAGGGTCACTGGATTGATTCCAGCTGGTGGATCGAAGCACATTACTGTCTCATTCCTGTAACACAGTAGATATGTAATCTTTGCCTCCAATAGACCTGGAACATCTACATAAATGGGAGGACACCTTGCAAACACAGTTAAACCATGAGAAGTGTTGTCATGCACATTAGCCAGAATAGAAATCTGCAGACATCAGATACAAATGTACGGCAGGTATGTTCCGGGTTGCACCCCCCACAGATGGGGGTTGCTGGTTCAATCCTCTGTTGAACCACACAATTTTATATATATATATAATTACTGATAATTATAATGAGATATTATAATTATATGTTTTTATTTTTCTTTTCTTTCATAGTGTTACATGTATAGCTATAAAAGTATCGTTTTCAAAATGTTTATAAATTTGGATTTATCATTATGCCAGCATTTTGATTTTGCAGGAATGGTTAGGAGGGTGTTTGTGAACCAGACTGAACTAGTTTACACTTCTGTGTGATCTACCAGGGAGTCAGGGCCATGTTCAGCTCAGACCTTGCTTATGCTTCTCGGTTTGATGAAGATAATTGGGGTAGTCCTCCCAGCTATCTCTCGCTGAATAACCCAGTTATCCAGCACCCATGGAAGCTGTCAACCGATACAGATTCCCTCCACATGGACTTCATACTCATCGCAGAGTTCTCAGAACTGGAAGGTCCCAAGCCAGTTGTAAGTTATGATAGTCAACAATAATCATAGCAGAGGCAATATGCCTCAGAACTAGTCGTAAGTAATAGAAGTCAAACGACACAAATAAGTCTCAGACTAATGTTGTATATAAAGTTACTGCAGCCAAACAATACCTGGTACTCATTCCAATGTTCTCAGAACTGTCCATGAGAAATTTCACTCTGAGTCAAATTATGCTCCCCATTGATGACAAAAGGTTTGTTCAAATCAACCCCCTGAACATCACTATAAAAAAACTGTTTCAATTACATCTGTTCTTTCGAAAGTTATCTTGAAGTTGGTCAATACCCTATATAAGTAGAAATCTCGGAACTTGTTTTAAGTTTTGGAAGACAAACAACACTCACCTCAAAGTTCTTAGAAGTAGTTGTAAAATATAGAAGACATACCATATATTTATCTCAGGGTTCTCAGAACTAGCCTTAGCTATCACAACTAGACGATACTCATTTATAGTTCTCAGAAAATTGGGTTATAAGCTCATCATGATTTATTGCAGTCAAGTAAAATATTTAACATTCATTGAAAGTATTTCATTGAAAGTATTTTTAGAACTTGAGCATCTTAAGCACATCCTTTGTTATGTATCATAGGCAAACAATACTCCATGCAGTGTTCTTTGAACAGAAGCATCCAACATCGTGTATATAATATATACATGTTATATCAGTCGAATACAAATGATTTCAAAGATTTTCATAACTAACGGTAAGTTATGGAAGTCTAAACCCATGTTGGAGTTCTCAGAACTGGAGGGCCCCAAAGTCAATAACAAGTTATTATTAATTAAGTGATAAATTTATGAACATGTATTGAAACACTCTGTTGATTTATGATTCAGTATTAGGAAAAAAACATTATATAAGAATGAAAGTATATAACAAAGCTGACATAATGCTTACTTATAATGATCCTTACTTTTGGATCTGTGAATCATTCTAATGTGATTATTTGACTTGCAGATAACAATTCCAAAAGATGGTGCTGGATTATTTGATATCAGCGAATTTGCAGTGCGAATTATGTCTGTGGACCAGGCGACAGCAGTGTCTGGGTACGAAAGTTACTGTAAGGTAGACCATAAGCTGTATTTCAAAAAAAAGAAAATTGGGCTTAAGGAGGCTCCACCCTTTCGCAATTAGCCAGCAGAGTTCAATGAAAGTTTCACATAATGGTTTTGTCACTATGTAAAGATGATTTTATGAAAATCTAAGCATTCAGATAAACTGGGGATTTTTTTGTAAAAAATACAGAAAAATTGAATTTTTGTCAAATTCAACACTTTCACATTTTTTGAGCGTGTGGCATTGTTCAAACCTATTGCAAGAATAAAATAATGAAAAGAAACATTGCTAATCAACCCCACAAATATTTTATTTATCATAAAATATCTACAACATGTTACAAAAAGTGTTTTTTATTGAAATTGTATGGATAAAAGTTACTAAATACAAGCTAAAAGCAAACAAGACACATAGTTTAATACAAAAAGAGTGAAAAATTGAATTAAATACACACAAAGTCTTTATAATTAATTTATTTTACATTTGACAATAATTTTGATCCTGATGAGAGTTGTCTACCTTGAAAAAAATCGGAACTTTTTGCAGAGGGATAGAATTTATACAATGACACTTATTTTCTTTACTATACCAAAAACGACAGAAATAAATTAAATTACTACATTTAATTGTCAATTTACTGTTCTTTTATGGAACAAAATTACTCTCAATCATGTACACATTCCATAACCCGCTTACGCATGGTATGTCAACATGTCAGGTAAATATGTAACCATAGGCTATCGCATGGTATGCCATTATGTGCACTTGCATTTTATAGGGATTTCGATATTTCACAAACCACTATTTTCACAGAGTTATTGTAATCGCATGTGTATTACGAAGGGTGGAAAGTCCTTAATATATTGTTTAGTGTTTTGTGTCCTTGCAACAGCTGAGAACAGATATATAAAGACAGATTTATAATGGAATTTATCTGACAGAGCGTAAATCGCTTGACAACAAAAGTCGTACCGACCAAGAGCTTGTTAACTACTGTTAGCACATGATATGTACAGGTGAGGTCGGTAAACAAAACACATCAGTCTGCATTCCATGCGCCTCATATACGACATTCTTGAAGTCGTCTGATCGTATGTCAGTGTTTTCCTGTGAGTTAATAAATGTCTTTGTATCATAAGCTTTATTTCTGAAGTACGTGTGATTACACATTTCCAAGTTATGTCTCAATATCGGGTGTTGACATATCATCGTCACACACGTGTACTATTGTTTACCAGGTGTTACTATAATTTACACTACGGTAATGGAATGCTCGATACGCAATACGGAAATGACGACACGAAAATACGACAAGAAAAACATGTGTATTACGAAGGGTGGAAAGTCCTTAATATATTATTTAGTGTTTTGTGTCCTTGCAACAGCTGAGAACAGATATATAAAGACAGATTTATAATGGAATTAATGTAAAATTATCATCAATTTGAATTCCTAGACAGTCCTGTGATAACACATTGTAGTGGATGAGGCATTTAGTGTTTACCTTTTCTGTTGGTCAGTCCATATGTAATTACATCCATTACTCAATACCTTGTACAAAAAAGTGCTATAATAAGCAGGTTCTACTGTAATAGAAGTCAAATTTAATATGTGGATAAATCTTTAAGGTTACTATGACCAGTATTTTCCATTTTAGTGACTTTGGTTATACTTTGCATTTTATTTCATTTCTTGAAGTAGGCTTTGCTTTTGGCTGTATTTCCCTCAACTGGGAGTGAGGCTTCATGTTTTACCACATTTTCTAGTTGAAGTATTGATTACTATGTAGTTACATATAAATTATACAAAGGTTTGGTACTGTGTTCTTTGTTGTGAATGGTGATACCTCTTTTGGAGATACCTCGCTCAACTCTGCATTCTGAGTGGTCGGGTGGCACATTGGATAGCGCACTTGCCTTTCACCAAAAATGCAAGGTGGCTAGTGTTTAATTCCCGGATCGGACGGGCTAACATCTGGGCCAACAAGAGTGATTTATATAAGTTGAAATAAAAAAAGTATATAAATCTTCATTCTTAGGTTGCCAACTTACCATACAACCGTTTTCATAAAATAAGCATATATGCATGTTGTACTACATTCATTAGAGGATGACAGTTCCAGGGTCACACCCCAAAGTAACATTGTTACCAGAGGCAAAGCCAAGGATGGCAATGATATCAGATGGGGGAAACACATGTACTGCCACCCTGTAAAGAGTGTAGTATGCATTTTATTATTGCAAAAGTCAACAATAAATAATGTTAAAAATATATAACAATTGCAGTATAAAATGCTGTATTCACATCAATTTCAGCAATAGAACAGTAAATGTCTATGATAAATTAGTGTCATGTTGTGGTAGCTTCGGCCATTCCGACTCATTCACTCGTTAAAATAGGAATACAGAAAACATATTGGCTGAAACCGACAATTCATGCATCTTGTCTGCACATTTTGTATTGTAACCCATTACTAGAGCTTTGTAGAGTACCATTCCCTTGACTCAATATTTAACAAAATGAGACAGTTGAAAATAAGCAATGTGTCCTAACAATCAGATCATAGAATTCTCATATGATGAGGTTGATTTGTGGCGGAATTATAAATGGTTAATCAGAAAAATCGGTCAGGACAGGGTAAAGAAAAAACATGTACAGTGTATTACCTTGTGTTCTTATTTGTGTTGTTTTTATATTTCAGGGGATTCCAAATGACAGAAGATTCCCAAGTCATTCTATCAGAAAAAAGTAAATGTGTCTATGCATTTGTAAGTATAAAACAAGTCATTCTATCAGAAAACAGTAAATGTGTCTATGCATTTGTCAGTATAAAACAAGTCATTCTATCAGAAAACAGTAAATGTGTCTATGCATTTGTAAGTACAAAACAAGTCATGTTATCAGGAAACAGTAAATATGTTTATCATACAAAGGTTTATCAGGGCACTTTCTTAGGTCCTTTTAAAGGACACATTCCCAACTGAAAAATGTGTGATTTTTCCCAATTTGCCCCTTTATAATTCCCATTCCGGAAATCTTATGAAAATAATACATAAATTCCTCACAGTTGACTGAGTTCTCAAAGTGTAGTATATGTATGAAGGACAAAATGATCCTGTTGTCCTAAATTAAAGTTAAACAATCTAATTTCATTTTGAGTTGACCGTTCAGATTTTCCAGAATGGTTATAATGTTGATGATTTATTCCCAATATCATTCACAGGTCCGTTACCCACCCCCGATAAACCTCTGCTATACCTTTGCAAGTATAAGACAGGAAATCTTATCAGAGAATTGTAAATGTGTTTATACATTTGTACCTTTGTAAAACTAGACATCCTATCAAAGACTATAATTCCTTTGTGAGTGTAATACAATTGTATGCAATAAAATCTTTATATATGCTATCAAAGTTTGATAAACTCATGTCCACTCTTGCATTGTTCAAGTTGTTTCTATAACTGCAATGCATACGAGAAATCTATCATCAGGTCAGTTACAATGGTCAGAAACATGTTATTCTTGTTAATTTTTATTGCACCAATTTTATATAACCAGGTTCATCATTTTGTCCTATTTGACAAACAAGCAAGAGGATATGTTCGGCCATTTGCTGTCAGCTATGTTACAAATGACCAAAGGTTTGTGGAACTTGTTTATGACAGTCTACAATGAATATTGTAATACTCGTTATGTCTGGAAAAGAAATTAATTGAATTTTCTAATTGATTTATAATGATTAAAAAAAAATAATAAGTAATATTATGATCTCCTTGACATATATAGTTCTTTTTTTACATGATGTTTTAAGATTGAAAAGTAGAGATTCAGTCCTGTATCATGTAAATTGTGGCATTTTCTGTTGTAGGATGTATATCTGTTTCCCCTGTAATGTCATTAATGGTACCTCATTACTTGATGTCATTTTCAGGGAAAATCTTGAAAGCCATTTTGTTCAAAATTTGTAATATTATTAATTTTTCGTCTATGATAACTTTTAGTACTTTTGCTAATGTCCAAATTCAGTGTTTTAACCGATCAGTTACCTTTGATAAAAGTACATGTACTGGACGAAGGGGAGATAACTGGAAAACAGGGAAGGGATCACACATACTGAGATTTTTACTCTATAAAATGGCGAGGAACAAGTGAATACTCTATGGTCCAATCTGTTAACTTATTAGGGGGTGGGATGGCGTTATCATAAACCATGAGCAGTGAACGTATTATTTCTTTTTCCAGAAAACTGATGTGTTGCTACGAAGAGCTGAGTTCTCATCTCAAGAAGGTGAATATAAGTTTATAAGGTGAATCTTGTCTAGTATATTAAATGATTGGGAAGGGGATATCTGAAATCTCTTATCAAAATGTCCTAGTAAGACGGCTTACAGGTTCCTATAGCAGAACTAGTGAAATGTTTGTGTAGGATGTTTCAGTGGCTATGTACAATGTAATCTGTCAACTTCATCAAACATGTGTGTAATATAAGGTGTAAAATATATACAAGATGGCAATACATTAACAAGTGTACTTGGCTATATTGTGTACCAGGAACGAGAATAGTGTGCTTCCACCGGGGATTGAACCTGCGATCCCCAGATTCCTAGATGGACGCTCTTCCACTGAACTAAGGGAAATTCCCTCTAGCTCGAAGCTAGAAGGCGACTGTAATCCTATGTACAATTAAAATCTGCCACAATTGTAATCATATGCACACTTTAGTTGTTGTAAATTTACAAAATAATAATCAAATTGACAAATCATTTGGCTTTACGATCAAAGATGTATGAGAGTCTATGAGCTCTCGTTGGTTACAATGTGTCCAGGTCTCAAGCAGACTTCTGTAGGACTGCTGATGAGTAAATTAAAACATCCAAGTTAAGATTTCAAAAGGCTGAGCAGAAAATATGTCCATGAGCATGATTAAAGAAGATCAGAACTTGCCTTTGATGTTGTACATATGGTTCTACTCACCGTTAACTCACCGTTGTCGACGTCATACAATTAGTCATAGACTACTACTGACGCTTCTACTAATTCTACTGGTACAGACTCCCGGTCTGCACCTCCCACTCTGTAGCATGCGGGGCTGAATTTTCCTGGGTGGTGTTTCCACACACGGTTCAGTCTTGATTTGAAACAGTTTAATGTTGGAGCGTTTATTACGGTGGAGTCTAGTTAGTGTTATGTCACCCATCAACATTACACTGTTTTGAAGAAAAAAAGAAGAGAATTATTTAAAGAAATATGTTTTTGTACAATGTAATTGTATTATATCAGCTTTTCTCTAAGTTGTGATTTCTTTCCAGGTGGCAAGATATTTCAAATATGGTAACAGGATGGTATTTAAAAATGAAGTGGACAGATATTTGATGGATCTTGAATATACTAAAGGTAGGTTACTACTAACTGTTTGCAAGAATCTGTTTTAAACTACACAGTAAATTGTAAGCTTATACAGTAGACCAGTAAAACATAATTATTATATCAATTTGATATTATTTTTTATTATGATCATATATCACAGAAAATTAGTTCTCCATTACAAATTGCTCAAGATTAACATATTAATTATAATCTCCTGATCTCTTACTGTAAACATACTTATTTTAGACCATTGTAGAATCTTGACAGATTGACACATTAATAAATTGGTGAACTTAAATATATGCAAAAAAAAACCCCACAGAGTTCCAGTGATAGAGCCTATGCCGTTTTTCTTATTTAGGAAAAAGAAAGCAATATACAGAAACGTCAATTAGTACAATCATAATTTAGCGCAATAATTAAAGTGCAAAAAGCACTAAAATAATAATAGCACTAAGATATGTAAGCTAACAGTATTACATTTTACTTTATTTGTTAACAGCACAAGAGTTGCCTCACTATCGTACTGTGCTGAATAACACCCAGGCCAACACAGGAGTCACCGAGAAGGAACTTTTACAGAATCTAAAAACTCTCGAGTCGGTGATCACAGAGGTCAAAACCATTCTTGACACCATCTGTGCTACCATGGTAAATACCAAAACAAATTCAGTAAAATCACTAGCAGAAATGAGGGTTTTGAATGCAAAGCAAAAGAACTTGACTTAGGAAACCGATTCAGAAATCTCATTCAGATGACCACTTTATGGTCTCAAATTATCAGAAATATTTTCTTTTATGCCTAGTTCATATACAGTAACCCATAGACCTCTTGTTAGCAATATCGTAAGTTGGTAATGTAAGTTTATACCTGAAAATCTTTGTGGATGAACACGACACATGACTGAAAAATGTCTTTTGTTATTTAGTAGAGTAAATAATGCATCAAGAGACTATGTGCCTTGATGTCAGTAGATGATGAAAACAAACTTACATAGGTGTTTTATTTTTCATATATATTCATAGACTGATAAACGACTGGAGCAGAGATTTGCTCGTCTAGAGGAAAACTTCAAGGTGAAGACTGATCAGCAGAAACAGAAATCTGACCTAGCCAACAGTCTGAGGGACTTGGAAGGTCCAGATATACCTCTAACACAAATCTGTACGCACATTTGATAATTCTTCATACCAAAAATAAATCACCTGCTGACTCTGCAAGGGTTTCTTTGATCGATTTTTTTTCTCTCCACCTTTTAAATTGTTTTTTTGGTATGGGATGATGAATGGAAGTGAACCTACTAGTGCAAAGTAAATGAACTGCAGACCGGTTACCTATCCTAACTCTTCTTCAGGCTCACTTTCCTTCATAAGACAACTCTATGTACTAGTATTTACCTTTATCTTCAGGATCTATTATAATTTTACTTCATATAATCAGCAGTGATTAGTAACTTACAGGTCTGATTACTGTGCTGTCTGGAAGTAATTACTGTACGCTTCTTGATTTATTACTCTACAAGTCTAGAACTATATACATCTATAAATCTTATTGTGCAAATCTGGGAACTAATTATTGAATAATGCTATTCCGTCTTTTCGTATTGCAGAGTTATCTTCTCTAGTGAGCAGGTATTGATTGTTACGTCACTTGTTTGTGATAATAACGTCATCAATTTTTGAGAAAACGACGTAATTTCCTCATACAAACCAATGACGTAACAATCAATACCAGCTCACAAGAGAAGATAACTCTGCGCTCACAAGAGATAGAAAGATTGTAGTAGGTCAAGACGGAATAGAACTAATTGTGATACAAATCCAGAAACAATTCCTGTGTAAATGTCAAACTAATTAATGTACAAGGCTAGAACGTATTACATACATGCCAGAACTCTTGGTGACCAATCTGTGAGTTTTAGAATCATTTTATGGGATTAGAAGTTAAAATAAGGGAGTATGCAATTATTATTAAAATCTGTTTGTAGGTGGTCTTTATGGTGCAGGCAAGGAAAACGAAAGTCTCATGTTCTTCAACTCTCACAACTATAAGGTAAGTCAGCAGTTAATATAACAGAGACACAATGGTCTATATAATATAATAAATGGGCTATCGCAGGGAGGCACAACTTTAAATGACCTTTGCTATTAATAGCACATTAAACAAAAACTTGGGTATGATTAATGTAAGTAACTCAAACTTTCTTGTTAATTTTTGAGTAGAGACTATCACAAAGTTTGTATTTCTATACATGTTATGTACTAAATGAAGTAACTTCATGTAAACAGTGTATGTACTTGTTCATAAATATAGAGTTTAGAAATACATTGCTAAAGGTAAAGTGATACAGTACTTGTCCATCCCCAAGGGACATGCTGTTTGTGTCCTTTGCTTTTATCACTCAATGTTTAGTTCTGTATGGCACTAGAGGGGAGACTTGAAACTAGAGGGGAGATCTTTGTGAGGTTTTTGTTATACTTATTCTCCTTGTTCGACTGTGTTGTAGCCTAAACGAATACAAATCACTGGATCTCGAAAGTTTGACCTACATCTCAGAGGACTGCATGAACTCTGCTCTTGGGGCTTCAAGGATGGAATACAAAAGCTGAAAGAGATGCATAGGGTAAATATACATGATAGTTATTACAAAAAGACTGGAGATATATAGGGTTGGTGTATATAATCTTTTAGTTAACAAGTTAAGGAGATACAAAGATTCTGTCTACATTAATGTTTTGAACAGATGACCATGTCTTTTAGATAACACATGGACAATTTTGATATCCTTCAGAGAACAGAGCTGGCTATAAGACCACACGTAAAAACAACTGTTCATAAATGATCTACAGTAACTTTGTAGATGACAACGATTAAAGTATTGGAAATTCAGAAAATGAATTATGAACTTTCTTGTATGGGAGGGAAGGGGGACAGGGTGGTGTTCAATTTATTTGCACGATTTTGAAGTGGTGTAAACAATATCATTAGACACTTTATAGAATCCCTTTTTTAGGTCACCTGAGCTTTGCTCAAGTGACCTATTCTAATCGCTTTTCGTCAGTCGTCGTCCGTCGTGCGTCGTGCGTAAACTTTTACATTTTCAACTTCTTCTCAAGAACCAGTGGATGGATTTTTTTCAAACTTGGTCAGAATCATCCTTGGTAGATGAGGCTTCAAAATTGTAAAATTGGGATTCCTACCCCAACCCCTGGGGCCAGGGCGGGGCCCCAAAGGGAAAATTAATCAATATTTCAAAAATCTTCTTCTCCAGACTCAGAGGTACTACAGTGATTTTCTTTACGTGGAAAGAAAGATCATCAGGGGCTTTATTTAAATTGAAAATATCAGGACCCCGAGCTATCCGTTCTCCCTTGGGGAGGGGTTAACGTTTAATATAGTTTATATAGGGAAATAACACTTTTCGGTATATATTTTATCCATTTTCAGCAGAAAATTACTCAAACTTAGTCAGAATCATCTTGGGTGAATGAGAGTATTACTTTGTAAAATTAGGATTCCTGCCCCATCCCCAGGGGCTAGGGCGGGGCCCCAAAGGGAACATTTACCAATATTTTCAAATTCTTATCCATTGATGACATGACAAGTATTGTATTTCACTTAGTTTACATGCTGATTTCCACATCACATCTAAACAATAAAATAAAGCTACCAGTACCTATGATATAACTCAGGTGACCGCTAAGGCCCTTGGGCCTCTTGTTTCTGTTAATCAGGTAGTTGACTTTAATGAATATGAATAATGATTTCAGCATTGAATACATGCTGTGATTAACTTTGTCTGCTTATACAGCATTTCCAGCAGGATCTATGTGTACTGGAGGTGGAGCGGGTCGAGACCTATAGTCTAGGTATAACATACCTTAACCTCTGATTGTCATTTCATATTGACTGAAAACATACTAAATAAATATATCATAAAACAGCCAGTATTTTTCTGTCTGTAGATATTTAAAGACAAAAGTTACACAAAACTACCTTTCAGACTATGTCAGAAACTGTGAAATGAAACATCACTTCTCTTCTTAGCGTAATTGTAGCTGAACTGTTCCAGCGTAATTGTTGTTGAGCTGTTTCAGAATACAAATTCTTAGTTGTACCTTTGTTTGTAGATAAACTAGTTGGTAAATACGAATTTAAAGTAATTAATGAAACACAATCTCATTTCTCATATCAGGTGTTGCTCATCATCATTTTTCTTCATCTCATGTGTTTTTTTATATTTGAAGATCCCCTTTCTGGAGTGCTGATGTTTGGTACCAGCTTTGTGGCCTGTAACTTCATGAATGATGTGGACAAGTATGTATTGGGCCTCCTGTATGATGAGTAGAACCGACTGTTCACCAAGTTTGTCTCCTGTTTTAGTAGTGATTAATTTCTCAAACATCCTCTAAGGTGTTGACAAGCAACAATGGTCAATCAGAAGAGGCTGTGATTGTGACACAATTAAAACAATTGAGTGATGTCATTTTTATAACAGAAAATCATACTTTATCTTGTTGATTGGTTGGTGTTAAACACATTCTTTTCCTTTAAAATCAATTTCTTGTTAGGCTTGGGAGAAAATTAATCATCCATCAATTTTGGAGTAAAACAGATACCCTAACCTTTAGAGCGAGATTATGAAATGTGATCATATCAAGCCCTTGACAGGGTCTCACCTCTCTTAAACATTTCAGCACCAGTAGGCTGGAATAAATACGCTTAATGGCTCTGCTTACCTCTACAACTTTCTCACAGCCATTTATGGCTAAACAAGACTCATTCTTTTTAGTTAAACTAGTTAGTTAAAATAGAAAGATTATTGATACATGTACTCCTGGTGCTTGGCCATTTCCAGTTCATGTGTGAGATTCAAATAGCCTGTCCGGATACATAAAATTGAGTCGGAAATGACCTGAATTTCTGGGTGTAATCTATAGAATGAACTGATCGATATATCAGGCAGCTGATACTGTGTATTTCTGTACAGGCTGTGCGTGGGGTCGTGCTGCAGTATACAGAGGTCAAGGGCAATACCGAACAGACAGCTGAGTAGATGGTCTTCTGTGAGTGTAACTGTAAACACCAACTGTGTAATCCTTTAATGGTGTTTGTGACACTGCTTTTATACATATGATCATTGTAAACCAATACTTATAATGTGATGCATGATTTTTTTTGTGATTTGTTTTTAAACTGGTTTGCTAATACAGGCTATATTTGTAATAGGCTATAGAGCTATTCAATAGACGCAACAATCTCAGATGTTGTTGAATGGATGTTGTTTGTAATTGATTAGACAACTTCGAATTAAACACTGAAAAGATAAGAAAACATAATATATTGAACTATACATTATGACCTTTCTGATAAAATTTTCCTGAAAAACATTTTTATTTACCATGAATCTTACAATATTTGGTTGGTCTAGAAGCAAGTATATTTTTTCTTATGAAAAATGACTCTTAAGCTTCATTGATCTCTGTTTACGTTTGTTCTCTGCAGAATGACACCCTGGAGAGTTACAAGTCTGCAGCAAGTTCCTTCAGGTCCCTCCCTGATATGGAGGATTCCGAGTCCCTGGTGTCTGTCAGCAGTATAGATGGGTCATTCTCTAGGTCAGCTACATTTAACTGTTGTGCAGGTTCAAGTTTTACATGAACACACTAAGTAACACTGATGTTATCTTGTTTCTCTTTCATCCTATCATTTTATAACATCATGCTGGTATATGTAAGCCACCATCTAGTTGTTCAATTTGTAAGTTGATGGTTAGGGCATCAGGTTTATATATTTGTTTTCTTAATTTAACAGTGAATTTCCAAGTTTCAGTGTTGATCTTTGTGACATCGTATACATCATCAGGTGTAAAATCTATTTTAGTTCAAATTTTTTTTTTTCTTTTTGTAGTTATAGTGGGAAAGATTTCAGACGGAGCAGCGAGGATGGTTTGGAATCTGTGCAGACCTCTGACACGGAGGCCACATCTTTCTCCTCAGATTTCTCATTCATTTCACGACAAGATGGTTCGCTGTCCTCAATTGATAAAACTCTTTTAAATGAAAACCCAGAATCATTATTCAGTAAACTTCATTCTGCAAGTAATCCAAATGCTACTAGTCTAAATAAGAGTCCAATCAACAATATTCCTTTGGTGCATGGAAGAAACCTTCTCCACTTAGAGTCCTCAACAACCGAACCTGTTGAAAACCCAGCCTGTCGTGGGTGTAAAGTGGTGCAGTGTAATGTGGGCTGTCCGGGCCAGACAATGTGTACCTGCTCCTGGAGCAGTGGAGAAACAGTTACACCTTCAGCTGATATTGAAGATTTTAAGTTGAATGCTGATGGGTCAGCAGGAAGTGCAAAAAAAGAACATCTAGATACTCCAAGTGAATCGAAGCAAGGGAAATGTGATATAAGAAATGGTTGCCCTATGAACACTGAAGGACTTGGCTGCCAAGAAGATTTTGAACAGCTTAGCCTTCAACATCAGTCCTCACACCTGAGCTTTAAGGATCCTTCAGGTACGCTGATTAATTTATTTTAAGTTCTTCAAGTAAATCCTTTAGTTTTGGATTTTTCTTTTCACAAAACAGCAACTATCACCATCTGAAAACTCAACTGTTAAAATTCCAACCAAGCATGGTCTCCAGAAGGCCACGTCTTCTATATTCAGGTTTGTGAATGTCCCTTATTACTGTTGTCAGGGCCCAACATCACGTCACTGTTGCTGGACTGTAAAGCAATTATCTAACTAGCCATCTAACCATTTCGCATAGCTCATACTGACTGTTTCATATCTCATCATTTGTAGATTCCACCAATCAACAAGTAGATGAAAGCAATACTGACAGTTCTCCTGCCTTGTAAGTAGAGAAAATATAAGAAAAAGATAATTTGGAAGTTTGATGTTTTGCATGTATCAGCCCCTTAAAAGCATAACTATTTAACACTCTAACATGTTTGCTATATGTATGATTATATAACCATCTCTTCATCTCACTTAATGTTTCTACAATAAATACAATTGTATTGAATTGAATTACCCCTTTGTGTCTTTAGTTACTTCCCTTTGGAGGTAATCGGCAGTTACTTCCCTTCGGAGGTAATCGGTAGTCTGTCTACTCCCAGTAATAACTGTCTATATTTCAGTTGCTCCCCTATGAAAGTAACTGGCAGCCTGTCTACTTCCAAAGAGAGCCTCAACTCCGGTAAACACTTCAATCTACATTTTACTACTGATCATAGTACATGTTATGCACCCATCCATAAAATTTGATGGTAGGGAAAATAAAATGATTTATTTTTGTGTGATTAGGATAGTGTAAAGGAACATGAGAAATTTAAATGTTATGATCAAAGTTGAAATTATTTAGGTCACATATTTTCTGTGGACTTCTTGTTTTTTGGTTTGTTTTTGTTTGTACTAAAATAGGGGCATAATTGTAAAAACTTGGTCCGGAGAAAACTATACAAAACATTTGTAAGGCTTAAAACATTCATGCTTACAATGTCAGACCATAATTTATATCTTAGTAATAAATAAATAGAGTAATACATGAACTAAATTAAAGTACAATAAAATGCTAATAATTTTAGTCAATATAAACACAACAGTATGCCATCTGTTTGGTTTTGATTTGGAAGTATGTAGACATCACATTAACGTTAAAGTAACAGATGCTAATCCCTCTAAGACAGTAATAATCTTCATTCCAAAATTTGTTTTATAAAGATAATTTTGTTTTCTGTCCAGGGTACAAACTGCTGATCAAGAATTGTATTAAAACTCAGGTGACCCGTGTGTCCTTTGTTTTCAGCCCAGGGTATATACAAACTGCTGAATAACTATAACAACATGCATCATGTCATATACAGCCTGTTGACAGGACGACCTGTTATTGTCATAGCAACAGCATCATTTGAAAAGGATGTAAAGGAAATAGTTCGTGCCCTCCAGCACTTTCTACCAAACAACCCAAGGTTAGTAGGTCATGCTGAATAATCAGATATTTTTAGCTATGGCCTGATGAACTTCTGGTGTGCAAGTCAGATGATTACCCAGGATTTCAAGGTTAGCTGAACGATAAAGGTTTGTAAGTTAGCTGACTACCAAAGATTTTAGATCAGCTGATTGAATAAAGTTTGCGAGTCAGCTGATAAACCAAGATTTGAAGGTCAGCTGATCGACCAAAGTTTGTAAGTCAGCTGACTACCAAAGATTTTAGATCAGCTGATCGATCAAAGTCTGTGAGTCAGCTGATAAACCAAGATTTGAAGGTCAGCTGATTGACCAAAGTTTGTGAGTCAACTGATAAACCAAGATTTAAAGATCAGCTGATCGACCAAAGTTTGGAAGTCAGCTGATTAGCCAAGTTTTGTAGGTACTGATCCATTACATAGTTGAAGGTCAATAAAGTGTATAAAGAGTATACTATACAGTCATTGTTTTGATTCAAAATGTTGTAAGAATTATAATATGTATTCTTTGTATTCCAGACAACTGTTTGTACCACACTATTTTTTTTTTAAATCACACATTTCGACACCATGTTTTAATACCTGTTCATCTATCTTTGTCTGTGCCATAACTCTAAATGGCTAGAGATATTCAGAAAACATACAATATTCTGAAATTGAGGTCACATTTAGAGGTAAATCAAAGGTTGTATCCAGACCTTACACATAGCTATCAGACAGTGTGTCGTTTAGCAAATTTAGAATCAAGATCAGAACGGGTTGTCTTGTAATGTACAGTGACACGTGCACAGGCAAGCTGAGTTAGGGAAACTTCCTTAAGGGACATTTTTTGATTTGCTTTGCAATCCTGGTAATTAAATTGTGTTGTGAAGGGCAGCTAATAATTTGATACATGTTGTGCCCCTGCAATTCAGTTTTTTTATCATAAATTTGTTAAAGATATATGCAACTTTACACATGTGATTCCTATAAGTCATGCCCTTTGGTCCACCTGAATGTTATCAATGTCTACATTATTGTCTCTTTCAAATATTCATGTATTAGTTAACAAAAAATCTGCCATTACCATCTATCAAAGGAATTGGACATGTTTCTGAATGTTGAACTGCTCTGGAAAGGAGTTTGGATATCAGATTAATGTTGGATAATACATCCCTGAACTAAGCAGGTGTCCAGGTCTCCTCAGGGTAATGAAGAGTAAGATAGGATGATATACCGCTTATCTTTACAGGTGCCCAGGTCTCCTCAGGGTAATGAAGAGTAAGATAGGATGATATACCGCTTATCTTTACAGGTGCCCAGGTGGTGCCAACCCTAACTGCTGTTTGACCTGGCTGTCTCACATTCCTAAAATCACTGACCTAGGAGGAATGAAACTTGTGGGCGTGTGTCGGCCAGAGAAGAAACCAATGGACAGATTTATCACTCCAGCATTCAAGGTAGGGTATCTCTTAGATAGTTATATAGACTGCGTCCATTGTTTTCCATTTAATTTTTAATTTAACCATGATATAAGTAGAGACCCCAGAGATTTAATCAGAAACCAGTGAGAGAGAGATGTGGAATACAAACCCCTTTTAAGCCTGTTTTTAGTTAGGGATTTTAGGTTCAAAGGTTAAATGTAATACAGGCTATCACAAGGTTAAAAGGTCAAACACAGGAATACAGTTGGTTTAGCTGAACATCTTATATACATATAGATACTTAAACCCTGTTAATCATGGTCAACATTCAAATGATCCATACTCTCGCTTCTTTTAGGAATTGTCCTTTAAATGGAATATTTATGTAATAATGAAATAAGGGTCCATTTGGAAAGCTATTTAGATTTTACTGAATGAAATATTCATCAATTACAATTACCAGGTATTATCCTTTGGAGTAAATAACAAAAGTGTTTTAGCAGAATTCAGGCATTGTGAGGGATTTGAGAATATACCAGGGAAGATTGTTTTAAAAAGGAGAAAATTAAAATCAAAGGAATATTGAAAAATGTATAGAGGTCACTCTAAAAGAGGTTGTAAATTAATTGAGAGGCAATATGTTCACATATTATCGTCACATTCCAATTCTTTTTATTTCCAGAGATTTGTCACAATACTAGATGTAGACAGACGATTACTTCTGTCTCCAATGTATCAGGTGAGATATAACAACAGGGATAAAAACGATATTACAGGAGTTTCTGTAGTCATCATCAGTGTTCATTATTTGATCCTTATATATATTGATGAAGTTAAAAATGTATTAAGGTCTATGTAGTATCCAGCTAGATACTAGCAAATTTTACACGAAATGCTTCGCAGTTCACTTAAGTTCTTGAAAAATTTACTCAAGACTTGAGCCTTTTCCTCGGACCATGCAAGCAACCACATATACATTCATCAAAATATTCAATTACATTTTCACCCCTGAAAACTGTATATTAATTGCTTGAATTTTGCCATTTTTTCCAATTAGTAGTTTCCATGTTTCTGAATGGTATTTTTGTTCCAGGGAAGTTTCCTGACACTGCTAATCAGCAAGAAGAAATCATTCAAGTTTGAGTCTGATGCCTTGCTTGCTTATGTTAAAGGGTAAGAATATAACTTTCCAATTAAACAATTTCTTATGAATAGTTGATAATATGAGTATGCATGTATACTCAAAATGTGCAAAAGCTGTTACTGATTTCTAGAATTTTTTAAATAGAGACTTAATTCTTCATCAATTAGTTTTTGTCTCGCCGCCATAAAGTTGAAGCGAGTCATAGGTGTCGCTTTTCCAGCGACGACGTCAACATTAAGTTTTTGTGTTTAAGTTAGATTCTCTGAAATTATAAGTGCTACACCAACCAAAATAGACCATTGATATGCATCAAATGCTGGATGCGGCCTACTTTTCATGGTCCATTGACTTTGTCAGCATCTCCATCAACATTAAGTTTTTGTGTTTAAGTTAGTTTCTCTGATATGTGCATTGATGGTCAAAGCGGGGCATAGGCGAGACATATCAATCGAATGGCTTGTTATCATTATATTGTACTCTCATTAATAATAGATTACATTTCTGCTCCTATGAGACAGCATGCATAACATTCTCCTAGAATCTCAGATGAAACTAAATCAAAATCTCTCCCACAGTAATGTTTGAGGCATAATGGAATATTTAGGGAGATAAAAAAGTATGTTAAAAGCATAGAAATATGGACTGTTCATCATCCAATCGATCGAGAACATGGGAATATTGAAATGATACTCATCCATATATCTGACTGCCTATTGTCATCCCCCTAGAGCTGTCTCAGCTTTGTTTTCACACAATATGAGTTTACTTGAAAACTGTGGACCAAATATACTAAAGCTTAACACAATGCTTTCTCACTGAAATGAATGTTAGGATCGCATTTTCATATCCAATATTTGAAGTTCAAGGGCATCAGTACATAACTATAAATAGAAAATTGGATTCTGAAGAAAAGTTGAATTTGTGTGTGTCGGTAAAACTTGATTTTCATACACAACTGCTGTCTGGAGAGTTCAAGCTTGAGAAGGTTTTTCAGGTTCAAAAGTCGAAGGTCGCTGGTACCACACATAGGAAGTTGGTTTCTGTGTGATAATTTTCATTTTGTCCAAAACAATCCAACTTTATACTCTATTTCCTTATTGAAAGTACTTGCTTGGGATGACATTTCAGATCCAAAGGTCAAAGATCAAGGTAGCTATATAGCTAGCACTATAGATCAAAAACTTGTTTTTGTGTGAACTCATTCTCATTGGACTGTTGCATTCAAACTAATACACTGCTTCGATCCTTACTTGCTTAGAATCACGTTTCAGGTCTAAAAGTCGAAGGTCAATTCCACTGTTGCTTTAAAGAGATATTGACTTCTGCACAATTGCTCATGTGGACTGATAACATCCAACTTCTTAAACTTCATTCTTACTTAAAATGTTTGTTTGGGATCAAGTTTTGGGGTCAAAGGTTAAGGTCACTTACTGTAGATTCAGTATAAGATTCTACGCCACCCAGATATATTGGTATCAAAAATCAAAGCATGAGGGATCAGTATTACCCGGTTAACAAGTTTAAAGTGAAATTATTATATAGATATAAAATGGAAACATTGAATCAGAAAACTTAATAAAAGGCCTTGATGTATTGATTCTCCTACCCGACAGTTCCAGGCAGTGTTTTGGGATAAAGTTGCATATAATACATAAGTTGTGAGAGAGACTTGTTCCTGTAATGACCTTGTTTAATAATTACCTTTGTGTTGGTATCTTGTCATTTTTAGTAGTTTAGTTTATCTTGAAATATCAATCATTTAGTAATACATAGCTTTGCATTTTAAACCACATTTTGAGTGAAGGCTATTTAATTTTTTATTTTGTGATTTTTTTTGACAATTTTAGATTGCTGTCAGAAATCTCATCAAAAGCCTTCATCTTCTTCCACCTGTTCTGCCTGGGTGGAGCCGGCACTTATGCAAGGTAGTTTGCTGGCTCTGTATGTCACAAATGTTACAGTATCAAGAAAATAGTGTTCTTGAAATACCTTTTTGTCATACAGCCTCTGAATAAACCTGTGATCTCACAATGTTGTTATGAAGTGCAACACTTACAACTTATTATGCATTTATGCTTTCTGGTGGGAAACTGTTTTGACGTTTTTGTTAGCCTGAAAAATAGAATAAATAACTAGACCTTGTTCCTGCAAAAATAACCGTTCCACCAATTTTGCAAATAAGTATGTTTCAAAGGTATCAACCAAAAAAAACAACTAAAAGATAAAGCAGAATTTTCTTAAATACTGTTTGGAATGTTAACACAGGGATTGAAACGCAATTTTCTAACATTATAGTTTGCCTAGCCAGTTGGGCCACATGAGCTAATTCATCTGTCTTTCTAGAGTCAGCTTTTTACTTTAAACAATTTCTTTTCAATACCCAAAAGGCCTATATGGTGATGATATTTGGGATTTCAATTATTTTAATCAGACTTTATTGCAATAATGTAAAACCCCATCTCACTGTATTATTTGTACAGTGGTCAGGATGGTTACTTCAGTATCTAGACCTCTAGAACGTAGTGATTGGATTGCTTTGACTCCATATCTGGTTGTGACACCCCTCCAGGGCCCACTAAACCTATTTTAGACACACCCACTTTATATTATCAGTTACAAGTACCTTCCTGCCCCCAGTTTATTCATATCTGAAGTAGCCCTGAAAAAGTGAAACTGCACAACTACCCGTATCATGATATCCGTTGTGTGTTGATTTTAGTGGTTACAGTCTTCATGCTCGGAGCAAGTCATTCCAGCAGACTGTGGTGGCCTTCCTCACCAGATTAGGGGCGCTGGACAGTGACGCAGTCATTATACAGGTACATAACATTAGAGTATTAAGTAGTCTCCAGTATACTACCCAGCACATCATAAAATAATTTAATCTAGCTTGTAACAAGCATTTGCTTTGTGATCAGCCCATAACGTAAAAAAATGACGTCACCATTTGTAACGTCAGGGATTGTGTATAGTAGATTAAATTATAAGGATTAACTTGAATATTTTTCATGTTATGGAGCTACAACACAAAAAAACGGAGTGCACTCTCATCATAAACCGCTTCACGGTTTATTTAGAGTACACTCAGTTTTTTGTGTTATAGCTCCATAACATGAAAAATATATTCAAGTTAATCCTTAAATAACAAAGTTAGGCTGAAGCTTGTACAAGGGTATTAACAAAAAATATAAAGTATATTGGAATGAGCTTGATGTCCTGCAGTCTATCTACCGGTAAACAGATGATTTGCTGAACTCTCCTAAACTGCTAAGTTAATGTAAAAAAACTACACGTGGAGGATTATGCATCATATTATTGTGCACCTGATATTTGTTTTTTAGTTTCAACCTTTCAGTTTTCTACAAATTGGCCAAAACTCCCTAACTGATTAAGATGAAACTTTCTAGCCTGTAAAACAAAGGGGAAATACATTATGTCAGTTGGCTTTTTTTTCAATTTTTCAGGATTTAAGATGGCCACCATATCCTTTGATTGGCTGAGACCAATGTGGTCATAACTCAAGTTCTGTAGGCTGATTTTGCTTACACTCTGTGGGGGTTATTTATAGGAATATACTTACCCGTATGTAAGATGAACAATTTATACATTTTGGGATTCAAGATGGCCTCTGTGGCTCCGAATTACATGTAATTACAGAGTTATGCCTCTTTTTTCAATCCAAAGTTATAAGTAATAAGTAAAGCTTAATGTTATAAGTAAAGTGTCTATGTGAAATGCTAATAAAACCTTAAAACAAAGATCCTTATTTTGAAGAATACCGATTTTTATCCAAAATTTCTTTTGATCCACTTCGAAGGTCAAGAATTTAAGATGAATAATTGGTGAGCAATCCAGGTCCATTAGGCATCTCCTACACACAGTACCTGGCAGATGTTGATTGTGGTAGTTTTATTTATTTACAGTACCTGGCAGATGTTGATTGCGGTAGTTTTATTTATTTACAGTACCTGGCAGATGTTGATTGCGGTAGTTTTATTTATATACAGTACCTGGCAGATGTTGATTGTGGTAGTTTTATTTATTTACAGTACCTGGCAGAGGTGATCAAACACCAGCACATTGAGAACCATTACTACACCACCAGTAATACAGGTATACACTTCTTTACAACCTCATTTGTTGATCCCTGCCTCATCGTCTCTCCCTCCCTGTGTCTGTCTTTAACCTTATCTGTCCAGGCCTCTCATTGTCTACATCTGTTTGGCCCTCTCTGTGTCTTTACGTATTTCTCTTAATTTCTCTGTTTCCCCCAGTGGCTGATTGTCCTACCATAGGGGACTTTAGGTTTGCACTCACATCTTTGTGATACTTGGTCACCTACAAGTGGCTGATTGTCCTACCATAGGGGTATTTAGGTTTACACTCTCATCTTTGTGATACTTGGTCACCTACAAGTGGCTGATTGTCCTACCATAGGGGACTTTAGGTTTGCACTCTCATCTTTGTAATACTTGGTCACCTACAAGTGGCTGATTGTCCTACCATAGGGGACTTTAGGTTTACACTCTCATTGTCTACGTCTGTTTGGCCTTCTCTGTGTCTTTACATATTTCTCTGTTTCCCCCAGTGGCTGATTGTCCTACCATAGGAGACTTTAGGTTTGCACTCTCATCTTTGTAATACTTGCTCACCTACAATTGCCAGACTTTTTTATGCAATTACATAATGTACCTCTTGGGATGGCACAATGTTGAGTGATATTGGGTCTTGGGCCCAACTATATATAAATGTATGGCCTTTTGTTCACGGTACATCGCGTCGTGCAGGGCATATATCTCGCCGTCACATGCCAATTGTTGAAGTTAGGAAATATTGCCGCTAAGTTACTTTTTATGTTGAAGAGATAAAATGTTGTCTCTAAATCTGTGTTTATGCTGAAACAATTCAATGTTACCAATGTGTTTGTGTTGAAGGGATACATTTTTATCGCTAGGCCTTTGTTTATGTTAAAGATCATTTAATCTGTGTTAAAGTCTTTACAGTTTTCACAGGGTCGGTGTTCCTGGAGGAGGAGTATACTGTCACTGTGTTTATGTTGTAGGAGTGCCAGTCAGACCCCTGCTTCTACGAAACCAAAACTGTCAAACGTTTAAATGCTGAAACCAATAAATTCTCCTTGCACTGCCAAAAGAGAAGTTACCAGGAGTCAACACTTACTAGAATTATTGATAGTGATGTTAGGAAATGTCTATTAGTTGTTTGTGTATATCAACTTAAGTCTATAACATTCCACTTTTTTTTATAAATAATGTACAATTATGTGATTGTGAGCATGTAAGACTGTTTTTTACATTTCAGAGATATATGCTACCTGTTAAAATAACTGCCATGTTTGATATTGCTAAGATGTATTTAATCACACAGATGTTGGACTTCAATATTTTGGTTTTAATTTGCGAAATTAGAGGTACATTTTCTATATTACGTTATATTTGATTACAAAAAAAAAAAAAAAAAAAAAAAAAAATAAAAAAAAAAAAAAAAAAAAAAAAAAAGACATTAAAATAACATTTAACAGGAAAATTGTTAAGTTAAAATGTTTTTTGATGGTTCGTCTGAATGTTATTTCATTGCCAATCATGGCGCTATATTGAAGTATTTTGTAAAGGTATGACTGTATCAAGTGTTTTACCATATCCTCATACAGACATAATGGACTTTTTTGCTCCCACCATTTACAGATAATTTAGGTAAAATTGACACTGGCATTTTAAATACGACAATTATTGTGGTTATCTGATATTATGAGATTTCAATCACCATATGCTCCAGGATGATACTTTTTGTATTTGGTGACTAGTGTCGCCACTAGGTATGATGAGGCTTCATTATATTGTAATTTTTTTCTAGACTATGTTAATATAAACCTATTAATACAATGTAGATATTTAGAAAGAGCAGAAAACATTATACATCATGCTTTGTACAATTTCAGAACAAACTTTTCTAATGATTGTTTATTTCAGTAAGGTAATGTTAGTGTCAAACTGTTCATGCAGGCATAAGATATTCTTCCATTGACCATCATGACAGTTTAATATGATGTTGTTTATAGAACACATGCCAACTATAAACAGAACCTGGATCTTTTATTTTATGTACTTCTAATATAGTTAGTTGAGATTTAGAAAAAAGGTATTTTCCCAAACAAGTGGTCAGCAATTAGAGATCATGTATAAAGGTACATGAACCTTACATGTGCATGTTCCAAATGGGACATGTACATGTGTTTCTCTTTACTTGGACAGGTGTATCCACACATTTAGATCCACAAAGTTACATACCCTTGTCTTACTCTAGGGATGAGAGGGGTGGTGTTCCCTATTTATAACAATTGTATAACATCACATCAACGATACAATGATGTTACATCAACAATGCATTGAGCTTGTAGTGTCAACATTATATAATGTATATGATAGGGCAAACAGGTTAGGAGGAAGAGAATCATCACCTCCTCCAGGGAAGATAAGGAATCTCAACCCTTGGAGAAAGATTCTCAAGTTAGTTATCTTAGGAATCTTTCCTTGCTGGTTGGGGGACCTCCCCCTGAGGGGGTGAAATAGTCTATGAGTCTGACATGCAGAGAAGGGAGACAATAAATGTACCTAATGTTGCAGGTTCCTGAATGTTTAGATTTTAATGTAGTAAAGTTAAGAAGTACCTTTGCAGGTATGTTGTTGATGTATGTTAAGGAATGGGCGGTGCAATACATGTAGATAAAGAGTGCCAAATCTTTAGTTAATGTTTTATAACAAGTGGTTTTAACAATGACATTGTTGATAGAGGTATTGAGTCTGTGTTGCTGTTGTATTCAGCCTCCTGGGTAATTTAATGTATTAATTATTTTTTGGAGAGCTCTTCAAAAATCCAAAGAAATAGCTTTCTCATTTTATAGATTTCCACGTCATTAAATAAGATATCAAATTAAATGGAAAGTGTAAAGAATAATGCTGAGTAGTGCCATACAGTTTGATCTGCTTCATTTGTTTTTTGATTAGTTGGACAAATTTTTATTAAACATTTGACGGAATTCAAAATTTTAATGTTTCGTCTTTAGCTTGTTCGAATGACAAGAGTCCAGTACCATCATTGTAGAGCCTTAAAAATTATGTTTAAATTCATTATAACTAGTCAATTGAGCTTTTCTTCTTTAACAGGGAAGTGTAAAGATTCCTCCTTTTTCCCTTTTCTTTAATCTAATACCATATTATGAAATGCAATTTAGTCAGGACTATTATAATAAATTCATCATGGACTCAAAAACATTGAAATTTATTGAATCCATACACATATTTTCAATTAAATCTATGCAAATTTTGTCTTCATTTTGAGAAATTTGATATATATCTGGTATTAATAGGCATATTAATGACCATTTTGGTGAAGAGATACCAATTCCAGGTGATTTTAGTCACAGGGAAATTGTAAAAATTCATATAAAATTAAATTTCAAATATTTAACATGGAAAGTTCATTATAAATTATAACATTCAAACTAAAATCAGAAAATGAAAGTACAAGGTATCTATGTATCACATTTTATATACGTACATGGTACTTGTGTAATACAAATAGAAAATGGGCAAGAATATGTGCATGAGCCTTGTTCATTCTTTTGCTGCAGTGGCAATTCCAGATTTTGTATGATTAAATATTCTGTCACAGTCAGTGCATGTACATTAAAGAATTTAAGCATGAAGCTAATGCATGCTTGTTATAAGGAATTAAATGTGATTGGAGTAAGCATAAAATGAGATTAATCATAAAAATAAGGGATTGTACAAGTTTGTTCAAAATGTTGTCCATATTGTATTGTTTTTCAATATCCCGTATGTCTGTAACACAACTTTAATATTAGAAGGATGAAATCAGTATGTGTTCAAATTCTTTGTTGAAATAAATCTACACGAATTACATCTAGCTTTTTATTCTTGTACTTTGTAAGGACACAGTATTTGTCATCAAGGTTGCAGAATTCAAAACCTGCAGACACCATTCATTTAAGATTTTAATTTGTAAGATTATAAAAACAAAAGAATGACCTTAAGGTACACTGGGGTACCAACAATTCCACTAGATAATTACCTTTGTAGCTATTGTGAAATAGTTAAGTCTTAATTCTTAAAAATATTCCATAAAAATCCCTTGTTTAGATTATTTTACAGAGCTATAGTTTTTGAAATATGAAAGATTAATCAATGTTGCCATTCAGGAATTATAAATGCAAAGCATTAAAATTAGTGTCCAGTTTGTGGTCTGCAAAGTCTGAAAAACAATTAACATGGAAAGAATTCAAGTCAGGAAAAAAACTCTTTTGGATGCTTTGTTTCATTTAAATTGGATAATTACTCCCAAGTCCACACAACTCTGAATGGAAGTCTGCTAAGCAATTATAGCCGATACAGTGGTACCCTGTATCTCAAAAACTTTAGAGATCACAGGGTACATGTAGAGTTTAGTAATGCAAGCATTAAAAACATGCAGCAATCTCTAGAAGTTGAATGTCACCAGTTTCATTCCAGATAAGGGAAAAAACTAATTGAGGTTAATGGGTTCAGAAGTGCCTACCTGCATACTTATGCCTCCCGGGGTGGACAATAGGTTTACACTCGGTCTGTCCGTCCTCCTGTCTGTCCGAGATGTTTGTCCGGGTCATATCTTATATACTTTTTCACCTGGATGTACAAGGACATAGTGAGATGGCGGAGTGCAGAGTGCAAGAAAAAGGTCACTTTGACCTCACTGTGACCTATGCTTTGACCTTTGACTTGAACTTTGACCTTCACTTTTGAAAAATATTGTACAGGGCATATCTTCTGATCAATTTCACCTGGAGTAACCAGATTTGATGTACAAGGACATCTTGGGATGTTGGAGTGTACAAGAATAAGGTCACTGTGACCTATTACTGGACCTTTGACTTTTACCTTTTGAAAATATTTGTCCAGGGCATATTTTCTATACCATTTCACTAGAGTATCCAGATTTTGTGTACAAGGACTTCTTGGGATGGCAGAGTGCAAGAAGTAGGTCACTATGACCTCACTGTGACCTATGCTTCCTGACATAAGTGTTGTTTGTTAAATGTGGAAATCTTTACCTGTGGGGGACAATGGATTGCCTTTCAATACTTTGCATTGTTTAATTAATATCTGGCATAACCCTTTAGTGTTTCTTTAGAAATGCATCCAGTCAGTCTATGAACCCAGACACTGATGCAGTACCACAGCATCCTTGATATCCAGGGGTTACGCTTTCAGTCTCCTGGAATATGTCATTACAAAATTGAAGGCACATGGCTAGCTATTTGATTGATCTCAGGTAAAAAAAACCTGACCAATCACTAGGCTGTCACCTGTCCTTTAAAGATTACAGCAGAGCGACGCCCGACTTCAAAGCCAGGAAGAGTTACAGTTACACGACCACGAAATTCTTTCGATGTTTATCAAAGGATCAAATTCGTCTTCTCGTCTCTTACACAAGGTGGTACACACTGAGCCTTCAATTTTGCTATGACATATTCCAGAGGTGCAAAGAGCGAAAGTGAGCGTGACCCCTGGATATCGAGGATGTACCACAGACACTCTAGTAATTTTCAATTAATATGCACACTAAAATGATAAAATCTTGCTATCATTCTTTCACTATTTATATAATTTACATTCACACTAAATTGTTAATAATTCTCCATTATTGTTATAACTTGTCTCCAACAAAAATACTAAGGGGGAGGGTTACCTGGTACACTTGTATACATGTACTGAAATCAGGTTGTCCATTCATTCAGATATGTTTTTCTGCAGCAGTAGTGTGTAACTTCTCAACCAGATGTTCTGGAAGATGGTATACATACTCATTACCCAAGGTAGGTGTGTACTGGTGATTTATGTTTGTTTTCAATGATTCTCGCAAGGGAGTTATGTCCCTTTTCTTATGTCCTAACATATTAACATAAATTTTGTCGGAGTAGTGCTCACCATCCTGACAAAATAGTTTTGAAAGCAAACACATGATTATTTCTTGAGATACTGTTGTACTCTTTGTTTTTGTTCCTTTTCCTTTTGACTAAGCCCCTTTTTTATTTCCATTTATAATTTCTTAACTGCTTTAATACTACTTCTAAACTTCTTGGCAAATGTATACTTGGAATAGATGTTTGGTTCCTGAGGCAGTTGTGCAATTGAAATTTAGTTTTATTTGTTACTTCAAATATTTTAAGCTTACCATCAATCAGATGGTGGTCTGTTCAAATTGTCTTCTGTTCGTGGTCTGTCAGTCTGTTCTCAATTCTTGCTATCACTCTTTCTAAAATACTGAAAAGATCTGTCGCAAATTTCATATGCAGGTTCCTCTTGGTCATGTTTCATTTTAAGACTGATCAACAGGAAAAGATTGCTGCCAGGCATCCGTCTTGGATTTTCTGAATTGATCAAGCTAGTCGGTCTATTCTTCTATTCTGTTTAAGTCAAGTTGTTCATTTTGTCTTAACCTGAGCACACTGTTTGTGAACGTGTTAATAACGAAAAACAAAACATACAACTTATTTTAAAGTTAACTAATGCTTTATTCAAAAATTATTTAATTAAAGTACCTGCCATACAGGGGTTCCAATAAATATTCATGATTATCCATTTAAAATGAAAGTGTATTGAAGATAAAAAGTCCATTATATCTAAGTAATAGAAACTAATGTAAAGTTGTAGCACTTTGTGACAAGGCAACACATGATAAAACATAAAAAATATAGATTTAACAGAGCCTTGGTATGTCTTGCTCTAGCAACAACAAAAATTGTTCAAAATAATCTCACCACTTCATAAGCTTAATAAAAATCAATTCAGAATCACAAACTCGTTCAAGGTATTGTCATACTCAAAATTCATACAGGAATGAATTCTCTAGAGTTATAATATTTTTTTTTTATAAGTAGTTATGTTGACCTTGTCACCTTGATACACAAACTTGTTCGTGGTTTTCCATGCATGACCGATATAAAGTTTAATCAAAATCCATGCAGGATAGATTTTTTTAAGTAATTTTCAAAGAAGCACTGTTAAAGTCAAGATGATCACTCTCAAATATAATACACATAGAATTATTTTTAAAAATAAAATTTTCTGCCTACTGTACCTTAATTTTTTTTCAAAATGTTACAGGAAACATATTTTTGTTGGTTCTAAAATAGTAATGGTGACCGTGACCTAGACCACAGACCACTGGAACAAGAATTTATTCAATGCCTTCTACATGTATGTATGACCAATAAAAGAAAAATAATCAAAATCCATGCAGAAATGAAGCTGTTATAAAATGGTGACAAAACAAATCTAAATAATAATAATGACCTTGGCATTGACTGTTGACCTCTGAAACACGAACTTGTTCCAGGCATTCTCCTTTATGACCATTACATGAAGTTTAATCTAAATCCATGCAGAAATGAAGCCGGTAGAACGATGACACATACTAACAAAATGCATATATCCCCTTCACCAATTCCATCGATCATGGGGGGGGAAAATAATAAAGTTTACTTAAATGAATCAGATAAACACAAGGTCTCAAAATGTCTCTCTTTAAATGAAGCTTAAGACTAAATACTACACAAACTTTAAACATTGATAAACTGAACTAATCCCTTTCCTGTGATGCTGTGTGCTATTTTCACACATCAGTCACTTGCCTAACTATATATATAGCTAGATACTGGGTACCTATACACTTTTCCCTCAGAATGACCACATACTATATACATCTAGCCACTTGATTTAATAACAACCTTCCTAATTAATGAAATGTAGACTTGAGATATTTAAGGAAGAATGTGCTAGCTGTTGCTGATTCCACTTATCCCAGGTACCAGATACTTGTACTAGGTATTTACAATATACCTGACTTGTCGTTTTATCTTTGTATCTATACACACTATTATGTGTGCTGCTAAGTGTAAGAACCTATATGCTCTATTTTAAGTAGATATCAATGTTCAAATAAAACAAGGCATCACAAGTAATACAAATCCCCTCGCATTCACACATTGTGACATATGTAAAAGGATATGAAGTCCCTAGAGCAATGACAAAGTTTTTCTAAAAATAGTAAGTGACCTTGACCTTGAACAAAGAAACCCAAAACGTGAACTTGTTCAAGATATTGTCATACCAAACACTTGCATGAAGTCTCATGAAATTCGTACAGTAATGAAGTCGCTAGAGTGATGACAATTTTTTTCTAAAAGTAGTTACAGTGACCTTGACCTTCAACTAGAAACCCAAAATATGACTTGTTCAAGGTATTGTCATACTACACACTTGTATGAAGTTTCATGAAATTCCGTAGAGGAATGAAGTTGGTAGAGTGATGACAAAGTTATTCTAAAAAATATTAACAGTGACCTTGAACATAGAAACCGGAAATTTGAACTTGTCCACGGCATTGTCGTACCAAACTCTTGTAGGAAGTTTCATGAAATTCCGTTCAGTAATGAAGTGGCTAGGGCGATGACAAAGAGTGTAACATACCTACGTACGGACGGAAACCTATATCCCCTCAAACTTTCTTTGCTAGAGGATAGATACCAGTTATGTAAGTCGAATGCCACTTCAAAGGAGGAATGCCCCCGCCGCCATGTGAAACTGGTTCAGTGTTTGATGTTCTATAAATAGTTGCCAAGTGTTTACACTGAATCGGGATGGGATGGACATGGCAACACTACGGTAGCAGAGTACAGTAGAAATGGCCCAATTCTACAAATATAGGGCATGTCTCAGATAAACATGGATAGTGAATTCAACCTGCACAACACACTTACATATATATATATATTTATAAACTACATTTTGAATACATTTTGTTTAGAACACTGATTTTGTTTTTCAAAAACTGTTTCCCCCAGATTTGGGACCAGATTTTGAAAACCATGGTTACCACATCAAAAAATGCAAAATAATATGATTTTAACCACAAATTTGACCCCAGCAAGTAGTAACTTTTTTCTTAAAACCTGTCTGAAACTTAATATCGCCTACTCGGTGGAAGAAATACTCATGTTTTAGCAAAGGTCATTCCGGTGGAATTTTCACAATATTTACACATGTGTTGAGTACAAAAATAGACTACATTGTACATAAAAAGCTAGCTTTTGTTGTGTAGACACAGATTTGTAAATGCCCAAAACTGTAGTCAAACCAAATTCTTTTTTTTTTTTTAAGAAGCCCACATAGTCCACTTCACCATGTACATGCCAATTTTAGTGCTGATTTTTTTTTTTTTATAATTTTGATACATGTTATATTACAGGGGTTATTCATTGTATAAAAATATCACCCATGGCCACCGAACGCTACTGTACACTGCTACCTATATGCCCTCCAATTTTATGGTGGGGGCATAAAAAGTACCAGTATGCTATTCTGGTGGAACATTGAACCAAGCAATCAATGTTAATTATTAACAAGTCTGAAATAAGCGACTCTGTAGGATTTTCCTGGTGTATTGTCTGCAGCTGTTTTCATTTTATAATTGCTGTAATCTTCATTCCAACCCTCTCCATCGAAGTACTGCCACCGGCCAAGGCTAACGTCCCAAACTTTACATCTCTCATGTATGTAGTTCTCCCCAGTCCTGGTTTGTTTTATGATGGCATAGGACAGGGCGTGGAGTTGGTAGCTGTAAGAGAATAAAGTTATGTCTAAAAACCCTTGAAAATATTATTATAGATGTTATTATCATTAATTCTATTTATAATTTGCACAGATGTAACAACCACATTCGTGTTTCTGAAACATTTATCTATAAATTAATCACTTTCGACTGTTACCAATACTTGAACCAATGTTAGCCTCCTCTGGCTGAAATTATTGTTACAACTAAAATAGAAGCTTGATGTAATTGTAGAATTCACAAACAACTGGTGTCAATTTGATACTGAATTCAATAAGAATCAAAACTATTTACCAGCGTGTGTATACAAAATGTTCTTTTTATGCTCACACACACAACTAAAGATACACTACAATATAGTGCCTATTGACTCCTGAAAAACATTCTCTCATGAGATTCATAACACATGTTCTCAATTGAGATTCGTAACACATGTTCTCAATTGCTATTCATAACTCAACTCAATTGAGATTCACAACACATGTTCTCTATTGAGATTCATAAAACATGTTCTCAATTGAGATTCGTAACACATGTTCTCAATTGCGATTCATAACACATGTTCTCAATTGAGATTCAAAACACATGTTCTCAATTGAGATTCATAACACATGTTCTCAATTGCGATTCATAACACATCTCAATTGAGATTCACAACACATGTTCTCTATTGAGATTCACAACACATGTTCTCAATTGAGATTCACACAGCTCTTCTTCAATAAACACATTTTTTACTTCTTTTGATTCAAAAGACTCCTTCATTTCACTGAAGCTAGAAAACTTGAGCTAAAAGACTGCCTGATACACAAATATATTCACACACTATACAAAACTACAGTACTTCTTGCCTACCAGGGTCCAAGCTGACCATATAGTTTGTTATACAATGCATCGACCTTGACCTTGTAGGCCTTGTGTACAAAGAGGTACTTGCCATCTCATCTAATTTACCCTTTAATAGGTACATACATACATGTAAAACTTAATGTCTGTCAAATAATCAATAACAAGAGGCCCAGGGGCCTTAATAGCTCACCTGGTATTTTATTTTTCAATTTAAAACCTGCTGAGTACCATACAGGTTTATCAAAGGAGTACAAGAAACAAAGTTGCAAGAAGAACTACATATAAATCTGTTTTGGTGGGAAAGACACTAAGAAAATGAGTTTCCATGTTATGTCCCAATTTTCCTCTATTTCCCCTATTGTGCCTCACATGCACCTTTTTATACAAATTAAACAAATTGAGTTTTTTCCCCCTAAGCATGCTTCAGACCACATTTGGTTTAAATCCCTTCACTTGTATAGTAGGAGAAAATAAAAATCCTCTATTTCCCTATTGGGCCCCGTCCCTACGCCCCTAGAGGGGCCACACCCTCCATTTATACAAACTTGAGGCTACTTTGTCCAAAGATGCTCTAGGTCAAAATCCTTCTATTGGTTGAAAAGAAGAAGATTTTTTAAGATTTACCTATTTTCCCTCTATTTGGCCCCACCCATCTGCCCCTAGGAGGGGGCCCACACACCAATGATGCTCCAGACCAAATTTGGTCAAAATCTTCTGAGCCGTTCAGGACTAGTAGCGTTTTAAAGGAAAAAGTTGCCAGACGCTGCGCCATGGGATAAGCTCACTTGGCCCTTCGGACCAGGTGAGCTAAAAATAACTAAAAAATAACTTAATGTATATATACACTCTACAGATTGATGAATCAGACAGTTGCGTTAAAATTGGATGGGACAGTATATATGAATAATCATCTAGCTATGTTCGTAAAATATCTGCATGAACCTTTCTTAGTTGGATGATACCCTGGAGGTAAATGTTAGGATCAGTCCTCTATGACACCCTGGAGGTAAATGTTAGGATAATTCCTCTATCTATTTGAATCACATACTGGCAATTTCCAGTTGAAAACTCCTGGGGCTGTTCCAGTGTTGGATGGTGGTCATCAAGTGAGACAGGAAGAAGAAACTCTCCCAGGCATCCAGAACATTCTGATTCTTCAAAGAAGGTTGGGACAGGTAGTAATGGTGGTTGGCCTTGGTCACAGTCCAGTCCTCTGGTCACAAGGCAGTAGCCATCCACACTGAAGTGTAAAAGTGTCCAGTTCTAACATGGTCTGGACATCTTAACTAATAGGTTAAATGTTTACTCTTGAAATAATACATTAATACAGGGATGACATATGGAAAGATTAATAGAATCTTTCACCCCCTTGGGGGTGGGACAGGGTAAAATCAACCCGAGGGGTAAGATTCTTAAGTTGTCAAACACGAGGCTTGCCGAGTGTTTGACAGCTTAAGAATCTTACCTTGAGGGTTGAGATCACCCTGTCTCACTCCCAAGGGTATGAATGATTATTTTTCTCTTACCCTGTTTAGCCTCTTATGTATTTTATATAGACGTTACATCAATGCAAGACAATGTTGATGTGATGCGGCTGAATTGTCGACGTGACGTCATTGTATTGTTGCTGTGACGTCATGGTATTGTTGCTATGATGTCATACAATTGTTGAGAAAGTGCAAAGAACATGTGTGGCTTGTCTCAACCCTAGGGTGAGATAAGAAAATCTCACACCGGTAAAATGGTGGATATCCCTGTCCAGGGTAAGAGAAAATTCTATGCTAAACATTTCAAACAAACTAGAAAATGTTTGTTAAACATACATATGCCCTGCTCCAACTTTGGAACTAAAAACCTAACCAATATCCATAAACCAGAACATATGATGGTGAAATGAAATTGTTCCTCAATTAAGAAGTGACCCTGTAGAACTATTGATGACTATATATGAAACTAGTAATATCAGAGAAATGTGGCGGAACCTTTAATTTTACCACATAAATATACCTAGACACAAAGTCTAACAAAAATCAATGAAGTGGAAAATGTAAGATCCTTCCAGTACTTTCTGAAAAATACAGCTAATAAAATTCAACTTTCAAAATTCAGGACAGCCATCTATCAGAAATCTTTGTTTTCTGATCAATCTCAAAATTTGATTTTCCTTACTAGGGACCATTTGGGAAACATTTATGCAAAATTTGACAAAGATCCCTAAAGTACATTTTGAGAAATACCACTAACAAATTTTAACTCTCAAAATTCAAGTTGGTCACCTGTTGGCTATTTCCCCCCCAATCAGTCCCAAATTTCAATATGCATTTATAACAATGGACCATTGTGGATCTGTATGTGTAATTTGAAAAAGATCCCTCCAGTACTTTCCAAGAAATAGTCCTATCAAACGTAAACTATCAAAATTCAAGATGGCAACTAGTCAACCAACTTTTGAAAAAGGGGAATCCAAAACTGTTACACCAATAAACATTTCAAACTTAACCCATTCAATGTTTGCCACACCTGACACCAAGTGCCTGAAAGCCTCTGCAAAAGCATGGCAGCCACCATAACTTTCCCTAGACTATACTTCTTCAACTGCTGGGATAGTAAGCTATTAAGCTTCAAAATATTATCATCAAACATTTTCAAACAAAATTTGAATGATAAAACCAGCCATACACTAGTATCTAATATATCTACACCTTTGTGGTCTTTGAGGCCATATTTGATAATAATTGGTCAAGACTAACCATTTAGAACAAGGCACATCTTCAGCACTCCAGGCATCGATACAATCTTGAAAGCTCGCAAATTGCCTGAAAATGCAAAAAAAGATACTTCAGTATTGCAATTTGAAAATATATCTGGTAGTTGGAAAATCAGTACAATTATTTAAAATGAACACAGAAATTTGAATTCTCAGTTACCCCTCCTGGAATAACCCGTTAATCTAGAATATTCTTTTTATCTGGCACGTACCGATATCGGTATAACTGAAGGCTCCTGCGATATCCTGTTTCCTTTAAGTATCTCCTTGGGTAGCCTAGTTTTGTTTGTTTGTGTTTCCAATATTTTTATATCTGGAATACCTGCGTTTATCTGGAATAACTGTTTTCTGGAATACCTTATTTATATGGAATTCATATATTTGATTTAAATGCAAAAAATCTAAAAATTTCTCTGATAATTGATATGTACATAATGTACAATTTACAAAACTGAAACTGCTATAAAGGTAACAAGAGGCCCATGGGCCTTAACGGTCACCTGATATATTTATACAGAGAGTTGATTTTGTTTTTAACATGAACAGAAATATTATTCAAAGTGACAAAAAACAATAAAACCACCTTACTCAATATCTAGCATACAGATTTCAGACTAAAAAGGATTTGAAACTAGCACCTCTGATTCTTAACAAGGAAAATGAAGAAATTTTAGCACACTGACTCCTTTGAGCCCCACCCTACAGCCCTTGGGGGTAGGGCTGGCTCAAAATTTTCAAAGTATCAAACTGTCAATTCAAGGTTATAATTCCAATCAAGTTATTA